CGCGAATTGAAGGCGGCGACGTAGCCCTGGTAAACGCTGGTCACGTGTCAGGCAAATACTCCAAGATTCTTGGAGTATTAGCCTGCGAGCGGGCTTTGTGGAAATAAAGACAGGGGGGCGACGAAAAGTTCACGAATGGAACTTGAATTGCCGCGGATTATTTATATTCTTTTATTTTTTGTTGTAATCTTTCTTCTTAATATGTTACGTTTATATATTACGTCGAATGTACATCAATCTTCTTTTATATCGCATCATGTAAATCGCCGAGGAGGCGATGTTTCGAATTTCGAAGCAGTGAAAATGGAGCCAATCTCGTACATACTATTTGTGATGATTTCCATCAAGTATAAAAAGGTACAGTATATATGAATTTGAAAATGTATTTCATTGTTACAAATTATTTAGCTGATTCCCATTATTTGTTACACTATCTAGCTCTATGAAATATATATTTCGAAGGCTATTTACTGTAATATATTTTATACAGTATGTTAATATAGTTAGCTGAATTTGTACAATTGTAGTTTATTATGTATTGTCAATATTGAGAAACACATGGCCAGACTATGACCTATAATACTATACTCGGACTCTCAGTAAAGTTCTACTCTCACATGATTATTATTTACAATATTGATTTATCGCTGCGAGAAACGTGTTTACACTTTAATACAGTATTATTAAACTACATTTTACAGCAGTATAAACTTCAAATACTTTGTATTTACATTTATACAGTAATGACCTGAAATTATTTAAATGAGGCATTACTGTAATAACAGAGTGGCCAGGTTGACAAAGCTAAAATCTGATGAACCTAACCTGCTAGGATATTTCAATAGTCAAACATCAGTTTCAGCACTCCAGCTGGTCAGGGATTTTTAGGGAAAAGTTTTAGCACCCCATTGTAAAACCTGCCCCTGAATCTCAAAATTTCATTATTTTGTTCCCTTGCCCCTACAATCTATATTTATACATTTGTGCCCTTGAGATCTTTAAAAAAATTGCCTAACTCTGCAGTATGGCATGTAACCTTGTTGCCATATTTATTTTCTGACTTCAGGCTTCAATAAATTTCTACTCTAATACCTGACAGAGATGGGGGCCATATGTATGAACAATAAGAAATGATTTCTTCATCTATTATTGACCCCTTACCTTTCACCCAATTTTAAAATTAAATTTACTGAATGATTTTGAAGTTTTCTAGATTATTGAAAAGAACTTTATGGGTACAAGAAATGGGCGAAAACAGTTGAATTAAGCAAGATGCAAGTAACAATGAACCAGACCGGGTCACTGGATGGTATTTCAGCACACTGGTGGAGATGCAACCTAATACCTGCAACCTGTGTCACATTTATATATATAGTTTTACACTGTACTGGAAAAATAATGTCAAGGAACTTGTAGAGATTCAGAATGCACACTTCATGGTTTATTCAATCACCAGCATGCATGAATCATTTTATGTTATGAATATTTTTTTTAAATTATTCTCACTTAGATAAAATTATATCAATTTTTAATATCATAAATGAATATATAGTAGCTTTTGATTAAACAAGTTATAATAATATATCAGCAAATAATGACTGGTCTCTCTGAAATCCATATAGAAAGGTTCAAATTTAACTTCCACTACCACTACTTGATCTGGCAGTTGCATCCAATTGTTTGATTGGATAAATGAAACTTATCTGGTTAGAACTTTAATGATAGCAATAGCAGCAGTGGAAGTAAAATCTGATCTCTCTATTATTTTTTGAAGGTTTGCTCTAGTCACGTCAATTCAGGGTTGCCCATGCAACTTGGTTAGCACAGCTAGCTCTTCAAGTTGGCAGTCCAATTCTTAGGATTCTGCAAATTAATTCTAGAAAACTGGCTTTGGTTTGGGCTAAACAAAAATCATCACACTGTTTATCATGCTGATTTAGTTGTTTAACAGTTAAAGTCCAGGCTGCATGTTTTTTGTCCTGCATATGGCAGATGGGACAGTCTGGTTTCCAAGTGTTTATGTGGGGAATTAATATTAATCAGGACTGGCTTCTGAGTGAAGGTCTTGCCTGCTTTATGTGAGAGCAGGCTCTATGCGAGATTCCAATTGCTACACAGCATGATCTCAGTGCTCTTCCTCTGAAACAATGCTTGGTTGCAATATCATCCAGCAAGTGCAAAAATGTACTACCACGGTCAAGGATCATTTGGCATGTTCATCGACTATGTTAACCCATTGAGTGGCACCATGCACTCTCCACCTGATGAGTAAAATTGTCTGGTGTTAGACAGAGTAAACTAACAAAGTAGGGTGCATCTGGGTGCATTGGGCCATTCCATTCAATGTACACACCCCTATGGACGATGTACACACACCCCTAAGAAAAAAGATCAAAGTGCCGACACCAACACACACCCCCCCCCAGAAATTAAGAAATTTTTTCCTTATCCCTCAGAAAAAAATGCAAAGATCAAAGGAGGCGCCGATGCACACAACCCCTTAGAAACGGCTTTTTCAACCCCCTCACAAATTCTAGTCCATGGGGGGTGGGGTGGGGGGTATGCCACTTAAAGGGTTAAAAACGTAAATACCACAGCACAACACTTGTACATATACATATACATATACAAGTAATACAACAGCAATCCTTTTATCACTTTTATATATTTAATAGTCATATTTACATATTGGTGAAATATCAATGTCCATATATTAGGGATGTCCATGAACTTGCCCCTAGTTTGAAGCTAATGTATTCATATCTTTTGTATAAGTTGTCTCTCTACAAACCAACTTTTAGTCATTATACAAGAGTTGAATTTGCATTCATTTGCTTCGCAAGTCGCAACAAACTGAACAAAGTACTAAACCATAAACCTGTGAAATGATCGAGCGTCTTTAGCGACATATCCAAGTCTTTTAAACGTCTCATACGAACAAATCTCACTGAGTTTTTTCTACAGAAAGTATTGATCCATTTGATCGATCGCCGTACTTTGAGAAAAGCTTGAAATGCAAAATTCACAGGGAAGATTGAAGAATTTCGGAGATAAAAACAGTTTGTCTTCGAGTTTCACCTATTCACCCCCCGGTTGAGAAAAGTAACAATTACGTAATGTTGGAGTCACGTGACCAGCGTTTACCATGGCTACGTCGCCGCCTTCAATTCGCGACTAGCCCTGGGTACGAGGTTGTACTAGTTTGGGATTTCATTGTGAAGGATGACTTACAGCCTGTTTCAAAAGTTAAAGCTGTCCTATCAGTGGAAGATGACGACTTTTACCCGACATTGCCATGGCTGGGCACAAGTCAATACTACGATGACTACTATTGCATTGAAGACAGGGCCGTACACAGCGGGGGAGGGGGAGGGAGGGGGGGGGAGGGGGACCATAGAGAAAACTATATTTACGGTGATTTTTAGAATGACATTATTAATAATTCTTTGCGTATTTGGGACTTTTTTGGCATATATAGGCCTTACTGCCCCCCTGGTGAAAAAATACTATAGATTGTGTATGTCATTTTGTCTGTTCTGATGATGAACAGAAAAATGACTCTGCATGCATATAATGAAAACGTCTCTGTATACAGCTATTTCAATTAAGGTTGTCCCCCGAGCAAAGCGGAAAAGTCGAATACGAGCGAGAAAGGCTGCTGGGAATCGCCGATAAATTCATTCATTTCTTAGCGATTCCCAGCAGCCTTTCGCGCTCGTATTAGACTTTCCCGCTTTGCTCGGGGGACAACCTTAATTGAAATAGCTGTATACAGACAAATTATTAATTTTTTAGCGATTCCCAGCAAGGCTTTCGTGCTTGTACATTCTACCTTAATTGAAATAGCTGTATATGCAGCCGAAAAAAGTGAAAACCAACGATACGAAAGTCATCAAGGATCAACTGAATTTTTAATTAGTTAATGGCAATTTTTCAATATATCATACAATTTTGCTTGCCTTTCAAAGGCGGCCATAAATCGCTAGGATAATGCTGTTCAGAAATAAATTTGGCATCCATAAGTGCAATATATTGCTCTGATTTGAACGGTATTTTTCACCTTGTTGGGTGCATGGAAGCAGAGAGGCGCTGCAAAATGTGGGTCATGAGAGTCCGATATTAATTGGAAAGGGAATTTTCCCACAAAAAGAAAATTAAATGTAGGTTAAAAGCCGTGGGTATCGGTTTTTATTAAACTGTAAAGACCTAGGGCAGAACAGTTTAATAAAAACCGATACCCGCGGCTTTTAACTTGTTTATATACTCGTCAGACCATATTCTTTTGTATTTTGGAGGTTTTTTTCATTAAAAATTCAAGCTATATCAATTCAATGTGAGGTCGTTGCAGTTGTGGGACGAAATTACTAGGTGTAAAATGCGCATTAATATACGCTTTAAAATGTGGTTAAGCATGCGCAGTATATCATTTCACGTCCCACAAGCGAAAGAGCAGATATTACTGTGTAAATTCCCTGCACAAGCAAGTTTGATGATTGATCCAGCTAGACCTCGTGCGCCGAATGATAGATACTTATGCCTAATGGTAGAGTTTTGACGGGCTCTGAGGTACACGGCTGTTGTCTCTTTCTTGACTTAGAGCGTGCAACGTTTTCTAGTCGAAAAGGAGATGTGGGTCTTGAGTTTTCCTGCAAATTCAAGTCCCGAATTCAAGACTCATGCCAGGTCTTGAATTGAAAATGTAAAACCAGGAAACTGGTTATTAATTTTTCGTAATAACCCCGGGTACCAGGTTATTATTGAAAATTAATAACCTGGTACCAGGTTATTATGGAAAATTAATAACCTGGTACCCGGTTGTTAATTTTCCATAATAACCTTCAACCCCGCATTTCCCCCGGAGAAATCAAATACCACCGCCTGCTTTTAGATTGAAGGTTATTACGGAGGAGTTAAAAACAGACAAAATACAAAAGAATATGGTCTGATGAGTTTGTAAGAGAACGTGAAAGGATATTTACTGCGGTTGTGGAGACATTTGACTATAGCGGTGTTTGTCTCTCAAGCAAGATAGTTTTCTTAGCCAAATCATAATAACCTTCATCATAGAGATGTGTATCAGGCGAGGCACTCACGACCGTAAATATACCATTATTGTTCTCTTTGCCATGATCAGAGTGAGGATCATCTTTGCAAAATGTGGAGCATTTTCTCATGTTGATATCTTCTGAATTGGCAGAGCCTGAAGAACGCTCGAAACCACTGTCCTCAGGGGTGGATGACTGGCTTGGAACATTGTTGAGATTGATTATCGTTGGTAAACTTTCAACATCAATGTTGAACTTTTGTCGATTTCTAGGTATCTTCATCTGTGCTCTGGCAAGGTTATAATAAAGAACAAAGGTACTTCCAGCTATGGATGCAGACATTGATACTAGCAGTACACCACAAAGAGCGCAAAAAATGCCAAATATCTTTCCTGGTATGGATGTAGGTGACAGATCGCCATACCCAACTGTGGTAATTGTGATAATTCCCCACCAGAGCGAGGCTGGAATATTTTTGTATTTCGGCTTCGAAAACGAATCGCCATGATTACTCTCGGTGTAAAACAACACACTGGAACAGACGAGGACGGGGACTATTAAAACAAATAGCAGCACCAGGAAGAGATTTGAACTGGCCTTAAACGTTTTTCCAATGATTTGCAAGTCGTAGAGAAGTTTTAGGAAGCGGAATATTCTGAAAATTCTGAAGATGGTTAGAACATCGACGACGAAACTACTGGCATTCAGGATGATAAAATAGGCAGGGATGATGGAAATAAGATCGATCCAGTTTCGAACGTTGGTCAAAAACGGCTTCAAATGTGGACAAAAAGCGAATCTTAAGATAAATTCGCAGGAAAACCAAACGGTGCAGATTCCTTCAGGGACTAGTAAGTAGAGGTTTGGACGTTTAACTCCTCGTTTCTCTTCTAAGAAAAAAGGAATAAAATTTATAACTACATGTAAAATCAGGGCCGTCGCGAAGAGGCTAAGCAGGGGCATGGTATTGTATTTGCCGACAACAGTTAACATTTTCGCGTCAAATTATCCCAAATATTTGTCGAGAATTTCGTCCAGACAAATGGGGAGAGTGGCAGATAAAATTTGATTAGACGAATAATGTAAACATCGTCAAGATGTTTTCAGGAGGGTGTCGCACCCCCAACATCACCTTCTCCACCCAGGTAACGCCCTGGGTAGAATATACCAAAATAATAGCAACGTCGGCCTGCTGCGGCAAATCAGAAAAAACATGAAACCAAATCAAGTCATCAACAACAACTACACAACTCTGTCAACTCGACATGGCAATGCAAAAAACCCAGCAGTATATATAGTGACGACAGAGAACGCAAGAACTGACAATTCAAGTAACAGCCGAACCAGCAGTAGCCAAAGCAGCAAAAATAGCAACAATTATTTATTTCCAAATCATAAATTTATTTCAATAATACAGATAATACAAATGTAATTACCATAACTTGAAAATCCTGCACGCTGTAGCATCGAAACTTCGCTATCATTTGTTTCAAAATTATTTTCAAAAGTTGTTGATTAAGTTATAACTTGTCAAGACGATATCAGAATTAACCTGAGTATCAGGCCCTTATGTTTTCATTCGCCAGGATTAATTGGCGGCGGCGAATGAAGGAGGGCCTGATACAATTCTTTACCGCGGCGCATGTAAAAAGCCAGATTCTGGCTTTTTCGTCTGATTGGCCGATTAGACAAACGATTTTTTAAATCTGTCATTTGATTGGCTGGTATTAATTAGATTATACTATTGTTGTTGATATATTTTATAACGATCACAACTACAATTATAGCCGGCCCACTAAACGGCTGAATTTAAATTAAAACTGCAGTAAAATTAGAAAATAATCGCAAATTAGCGAAATATATTGCAAATGTAGCTTATATTAAATCGCCATCAGATTGCACTATCGACTAACTGACGTATAGTTATAAAGTATACTTAATATATATATATACTTTATAATTATATGTCAGTTTGTTGATAAATACGGTAAGCGCCCATGTATAAAAGCTCATTTTAGTCACTGAAACCTCTGCGGAGGAGAGAGCAATCGGGTGGCGATTTAATATAAGCTACATTTGCAATATGTTTTGCTAATTTGTGATTATTTTTGTTAATTTTATAAGTTCATTGCAGTTTTAATTTAAATTCAGCCGTTTAGTGGGCTGCCTATGCTATAATTAGATTGTTGTTGTCGTTGTATGAAATTTAAATTTTTCCTGCGACATTTTGATTGGATACTAAATATAAACTTTGCTGTGGGTGGAAAGCGATCAGGTTAAGTTTTGTGTCAGGCTCTATTTGTAAAATAGAGCCTGATACTCAGGTTATATCAGAATGTGTTCGCACTGTTTCTTCCCGGTGGTTGCGACAAGTCTGAAGTGCAGACGATGCAGACTTATTCAACCTTGTTACAAGATGATAACAACGTCAGATATATCCTTACTTTAGCACACAATAGCCATGTAGTAAGTGGCTCTGTAAATGATCGAGAACCTCACCTTGGAATAAAGGTATTGTCCACAAATTCGCCGTGATTATCGATATTACAACAAATATTAGGGAGATCCATCCATAAATCTACAAGTGACAGAGTGTGATATATTAAAATGTGAAGTGGTTATACTAGAAATTGCAACTTCAAAAATACAAGTAGAATTGTAAATTTGTAATATTATTTTCTGTACACAACAATGAAGTCACGACGAAACATTAGACCTAATTCATAACTGGTTCAGCCTTGTTCAAATATTCTCGCATACATAATTATTGATGTGCAACGAAGGATGACGTGTCAAGGTTCAGGTCGTTGCATTTGAGCAACTGCTACAAGTTCTCGGCACATCGCTTAAGCTATAATCTCTATATTTGATCAACCATGCAACGTTCGGTTCATTATTTTTATCCTTTTGTTAATACTTAAACTAAGGTAGAACCAAATATTTTGGCGCCAGGACGTGACATCCAATGTACCCCGGAGCAATGGGGTCAGGCCTTTTCATTTCAGCCTGGGGTTCCTTAGTCCAAAAATTAAACCATGCACTAACGATTGCAGGTTGTGATAAATTCATGTAGCAGGATGAATGTTACACACGCAGTGTTCTCTTGGATTACCAGCACTGATTGTGGATAACATGTCGGAAATAGTACGCGTACAAAAATATTTAATAGCCTGTTTCATACAAAATGCTGTAAACTCGCTTGTTAGTCCGGCTCTTACTTAACCCTAGCCTGATGTAGTAAGCCTTGAGGTATAATTTATGGCAGATGATAATTACCTTGGCACTGGTTGAGGAATACGGTTCCTCGAGAAGGTCCCATATGATGGGCTTGTAAGTGTCCCAGAAGTTATCTGGTTCTTCTCTCTGTGATCTTACTTCTCTTTCCTTCCTAGCTTCCTCGACACACTCGGGTTTAAAGTATTGTGGTTGAAAATCAAGCGCTTTAAGATTCTCCTGAGCTTCGCGATGATTTGTGTAGTTCGACCAACAACACGATTCCATCTGCTGTTCATGTATTCCCCAAAAGGTCAATTCATCTTCGAAGCAAGGTCCACACATTCCCCTCGGGCAGTGCAGTTTCCCCGTCTGAAAGTAGTTAAGGATTTGTGTGAAGACCATTGGATGTCGATCAAAGAACAGTTCTCCTGTTTCCGGATCATAATCCAACTTTTCCTTGTTATTTGTGATCCAAGCAAGCGGCATGTCAGGTTGATTTCTTAACGTGCTCTGATACGGCTCGAAACGTTTCCCTCCTACATTCAAGATAATTCGATCTTTCTTAGATTCGTTCATGTTGCCCGATTGTTGAGACATCTTCAAGGTTTCTCACTCGAGCTTACAACGACATTGGGAACGCAATGGAAGCAATTATTCTTCGATTCACATTAGTTTTGACTAATATATTTCGTCTGATGTTTTCATCCGGGTTTTAATTTGCAAAACAGCTGCACCATTGCTAAATATTCAAATCGCTTCGACAACGAATGCCAATAAGTCTTCTCCATACGCTTATGTTCCCTTAGCAACCAGATTATTATTCAAATAAGAGTTTTAATGAGTAGAGCATATTAATTATTGATATATACAAGCGGATTTGAAGAAACTTGCGGATTTGTCGGCTGGCTGTGGTTTTGGATCAGCATAATACAGATTATACGTATATTTGTTTGAGAATAAATTAAAATAGGTACGCACTGCGTACATGTGGCAAGCATTTGGAATAAAAATTAGAATTCGCATTATGAACATAAAAATAATATAAAAACTGAGATAGATAAATATTGATATTTATAATTACCAATATCAAATACTTGATTAAAATAATGTTCAAGTGTAACATTGAGGTTGATTGTTATGATCCATTAACAAAGCCCTAGAAAAGGACTCACTGCATGTACTCTAAATGAAAAGTATTTCTTATCTCTGGTACATGTGTGAACAACAAGAATTTTCTTCGAACATGCCGACTATTAAATGACAATATAATGGTTCTTTCCATTAATTAGAATTCTATTCATAGTTGTGTCCCAGATGATTATAGACTTTAATTTATTTCATTGTATAAAATCGCATGGATCGACACTGCAACACATTGTTTACCATTGCATGCAGTGTTACTTCCAAACATCGACGCATTTCCGTGATTATCCCATTGAGTCGCATTGTACCCTGATGCACCCTACTCTATTATTTTACTCTGTCTAACGCTAAATTATTCTACCCTGTCTAACGCTAGATGATTTCACTTGTCAAGGGGAGAGCGCTAGCGCTTAATGGGTTAAAGTCTGCACAAACTGTAAAAGTAGGATCAACTATTTCATTAATATTGATGGGACCTGGATTTTCCCCAACATCATTTGAGAGTCTCGATCATAATGGTACATAAACATTATAGCATAGAATCTTAAATTTGTCAGAGGTATGCATAACGCAAACTTTAATTCATTTCAGCCAAATATTATTTTCTTCTGTTGTTTAGGTATTAGTAAACTTTACCCGATTTCAACCAAATATTATTTATTTTGTCGTTTTTTGTGAAACATTTTGTTGTACTTTTTACGCTTGAAAAGGGGCCATTGTTGCTCGCACTGATCTTAGATTGGGTTGTATTTGTGTGAAAGGCCACATATGAAAGTTGAACCTTGCCATCGCGCAGGTAACAATACCAGGTCTACCCATTACCATTGTGCTGGGGATTAACAATTTTACCTAGTCATTGTGCGTGTATAGTATTACAAACACAAACTACAGTACAACTGTCAAACAATCTTGCAGGTAGGTTGATGTTTTGCTTAAAAAAATATTTAATATTTGATATTTTAAAAAATCTTTTTAAACCAACCAAAAAAAAGATGTTTGAATACATCAATTACAAATAGAATTCTAATTAATGGAAACAATCTTAATAGTGTCATTGGTCAGCATGTTCAAAAAGATTTATTGTATTAAATTGCTTGCAGAGGTACCAAATACTATTCATTCAGAATAAAATTAGTCCTTTTCTGGGGCTTTATTCAGATGGATCATAAACAATCAACTTCATATTAATACACTTGATATACTAGCTTGAACATTCTTGGATTCTTTTATAAATCAAGTATTTATCAATGATATACATTTGATACGTGGCCTTTCACCTGTCCTTGCCTTTCACGCAAATACAACCTGATCTATTTCAAGATCAGTGTAAGCAACAATGGCCCATTTTCAAGCATGAAAAATACAATATTTGGCTGAAATCAACCAAAGTTTGCTTACCTGTGACAAATTTGAAGCGGAATATCAAGTCAATTTTGCTTTACACAGGCACAGCTTCTCACAAATTGCCCAAATGAACGAACAAACTTTAAATATATATACACAACTCAATCAAGTAAACCAACCACCAACACATGCCTCGAAAGTCACAATATTCCCTTTCTTCACCCGCCCGCACTAAACGCCTGCTACGCAGGCTAAATGTCACGTGACTGGACAAACTGACAACTTTTTTATCATAACATAGTGGCTAGTCATATATGGCTTGCCACAAAAAACCGTTCAATGAAATTGTTCATGGACTGAGCAGTAAGAAACAAACTGAAACAATTATTTCCTGATTTATTCACATAAAGACAAATAGTCTAGGACCTGTATATGAGTTTGTATGCATTTCATTTAGGACAGATAATCTCAACTGTTTTAGGGTAAGTTGACCATGACGGTCAACATGGTAACGCTGCCCGAACCCCAATCCGGGGCGAAACGTCCGAAACTGACCACACCCAAAAACGACGCTTTCACCATACTGCTATCTACCAAACCATAAAAGCTTTGGCTATTCTGAGGTGCTTATATGGTTCAGAGATGGTACTTTTGGGGGTGGTCATTGGTAAGTGTGAAATGCCAAGCACTAATATTTCGCAAGAAAATGGCCATGCAATAATCATAGTTAAACGTCAATTTGTGGCTTGCAAATTCAGATAAACAGCAGTGGACTTACATTACCTTTTTCCCTAAATCGTTTTGATAGAAACATAAATGGTACTTATTTAAATATATTATCACTGGTTTGGTGTAAAATAGTTAATATTTTCTGACCGAAATAATAATTTGAAATGTGCCTACCTCCTGCAAATGGACATATTTGGCCAAGTTCTCCACTTTACTCCGCTGTTTATCGGCGATCTCGTCGACATCCTACAAAAAATGTAAATCATCTCAGACATAATGGTATCAAGAACATTTTAAACAAGTTTCAACTTGGTTTCAAGTAGATCATACCTGTTTAACCATCGACAAAGTAAATCCACAACTTTGTCCAAATTCGGCGCCATTTTGTCATCCCATGTCGCTTGTTAGCAATTCAGCCTTGTTACTCTTCCATCCAAGCCATTTCCATTCCACTAATAATAAATTTAACCCTTTATAACAGGAGGAAACTAAAAAATATAAACAAAATATAAGAAATACGCCATTTTATCACCATGTAAAATTTTGCTCACGAGTCTTTCAAAACATTCCGTACAAATCTCGCGTGGTTTAGCAACAGGGACGTGACAGGGGGGGGTAGAGACTTGAAAAATGAAAGGAAAGCCCACACAGTATGGTAAAACCAACAATCAACATTTAATTTGTGAAATTATTTCATTGCTGTAGGCGGGGGTGTGTTTTCTCCCTCGTTTTTGTTGACATAGCACTTTGTCTCCGACCTTGATCTCGCTTGTTTTGACATGCTTCTTGCTGTCTGCTCGCAGTTTCATATTTCTTTTGCTGATCTGGTCGTTCTTCCTGACTTCCTTGTCGTAAACCAGTATGGTTTTGCTGGTGGGTGTCGGTAGTCTTGTTTTGTATTTTCTCCCATTAAACAGGAGAGAAGCTGGCGATTTCTTTGTCATTGGATGTGGAGTGGCTCGATATGCACGCAGAAATTTGTGGAGTTCTTGGCGCCAGTTTAATTTTTCCTCTTGCGCTGTTTCGATAAGTTTTCCTAGGTTTTTCATGAAGTTCTCCGCGGTGCCATTTGCCCACGGGGCATATGGTATTTTCTTTTTGTGTTCAAAACCCATGTACTTGGCATATTGCCTAAACTTTTCACTGTTATATGGTGGCCCATTGTCACTTGTTATTTGTGTAGGTATTCCAAACTGAGATAGTACCTTGTCAAGAACAGGTATGCAGGTATCCGCTGAGGTGGATCGAACTATTTCTACCGCTGGATATCTCGAGTATAGACATTGGACGACCAGAAGATATTCCCCTGTTGGAAGGGGTCCATGGAGATCTGTTGCCAGCACGTCCCATGGCTCACCAGGTAGCACTGTAGGTTTTAGTGGTTCCTGTTGTGGTGTTTTCACTGTGATCTGACATGGCATGCAGTGCGCGATTTCCTTCTCCACACGTTTGTCCATTCCTGGGAACCATGTCGTTGCTCTGAGAAATTGTTTCGTTCTGACAATTCCCTGGTGGCCCTCGTGTGCCAGTGTGACCACTTGGTTCCTTAGACTTTCCGGGACTACCATTTTACTTCCTCTTAGTACCAGTCCTTCCACTGTTGATAGTTCCTTAAAAACATGTGAGTATGGCATTAGCTCTTGTTTGTCTGGGTTGCTGATGTATCCTGTTTGAATGGCTTGGATGAGGCGTTGCATTGTTGGATCTTTTCCTGTGGCAGTCTTCATTTGTTCTAGTGTCACGGCCACAGGTAGGTCGTCTCGGATGATGGCCTTTATGTGATGATTGATCAACTGTGCCTCTTGTTGTTCTTTTTGTTCCCTGGAATCTGGTATTTGGGTAGGATGTCGGGACATGTAGTCGGTTGGGTTGTCTTTCCCGGGTTTATGTTTTAAGTTGAAGGTATATCCTTGTAGATTGAGCTTGTGCCTGTGTATTCTTGGGGGCATGTCTGCTCGGTAGCTGTTGTAAAGCGGTAGTAATGGCTTGTGGTCTGTGATAACGCTGAATTCTGGTAGACCATAGAGATAAATGTGGTTTCTTCTGATCGCAAATTCGACTGCTGCGCTCTCGAGCTCTATTTGAGCATACCTGGATTCAGGCTGTGTGGTGGACCTGCTGTCATACCGAACTACCTTGTATTGCCCTGTTTTGGGGTCGAGCTGAGTGAGCATGCTGGCTAGTCCATATTTAGAGGCATCGACAATGAGTTCTGTTGGTCTGGTGGGATCATAATATGACATAACTTGAGGGCTCGCCATTGCTTGTTTCAAGGTCTCGAAAGCTTTCTGGCATTCCTTCGTCCACTGAAACCGGGCATTTTTCTTCGTTAGGTGCCGTAGCGGTGCGGTGGTTTCCGAGTAGTGTTGTATGAAGTTGGCCATCCCAAGGAATGAACGGACCTCTGCAACTGATGTGGGCGCTGGAGCTTCGATTAGGGCTTTTACCTTGTCTGCCGTTGGTGACATGCCTGCTGCTGAGAATTTCATCCCAAAAAATTCAATTTCTGGCTGGTCAAACTTGCATTTGGGTAGTCCCAATGTCAATCCACAGTCTTCGAATCTCTGTAAGACTTGTGCAAGAGCTATGTTGTGCTCCTGTTGTGTCTTTCCGTACACAATGATATCATCATACAGGTTATCTGCATTGTCTATGTCTATCAGACATTGCGAAATCTCTTCGTGAAATAATTCTGCTGCTGAGTTCGTTCCAAAGTTCAATCGTTTAAAACGTCGAAGTCCGCGATGAGTATAGAATGTTGTCATATATCTCGACTCCTGTTTTAGCTCCAGTTGCATGTATCCCTGTTTCATGTCCAGTTTAGTGAAGTGGGTGGCACCATTCAGTTTATACCTCAGTTCCTCTAGTGTTGGTATCACGTGTCTTGTGCGTTTTATTGCAGTGTTTGCGGTTGTCATATCAATATTCATTCGAAGCTGTGATGGATCTGCTTTCGGGGTCAGCACTACGTTGGATATCCACTCCGTTGGACCTTCTACTTGTTCTATGATGTCAGCCTCCTCGAGCTCCTGAATGATTTCTTCAAATTGCTGTCTCTTTGGGAATGGAATTCTACGTTGCGCCTGAACCTTTGGTTGGACCGAGTCATCAATTATTAACTCCACTTGACGATATTTGTGCTTTCCAATGCCTTGGAACACTTTGGGGTGTTTTTTTACTATTTGCGACACTGGTGATTCGCCGGTAGATTTCTGTTGATGGAGTTGTGTGACAAAGTCTGTGACTTTGGATAAAGGTGTCAACTGCTTCGCCATGTTTGAGTATGCCATATGGGTCCCTTGTTGTTTGGTCACCTTTTCGGGCAATGGGTTGCTCAATTCCCTTTCGGGTTGTTGTACTTGTAGAAGTTCATTTACACTGATTTTCAAAATGTCTAGATCAAAAGCTGTGTACTTGCCCATAATTGGAGTTGATGTTGGTTTCTCTGTCACATAGAATGTTGCATTCACCTCCTGCCCATTCGCTCGAACTTTCGTTTTGAAGCATCCTTTTACTGGCAACGGCTTTGATCCATATGGTTTCAATTTTGCCCCGGAATTTCTCAGTGGGGGCCGTTTGTGCAATGTTTTGTATGTTTTGTAATCCATAACGTTGACTTCTGCACCCGAGTCCACTTGTACTTTTAGCCGTTGGTCTTGTACTCTAATTGTTACCGTGGTGCTGTATTCTGATGGTTGTGACATTGCTTTTGTGTCCGCGGTCACTTGGTCAAGTTTCCATGTCAATTGGTCAAACTTGTATGAAACCTGGGGATCTTCGTTGTCACTACCCTCTTCTTGGAGCTGTTCTATCGGTTTATATGCTTTGTATGTTTTGGATTGACAGACTACTGCGAAATGTCCTTTCTTCTTGCATTTATTGCAGGTGGCCCCGCGTGCCTTGCACCTTCCCTTGTGGGGTGTTTGTTGACCACAATATTTACAAACTACCAACGTGCCTTTGTTTCTGTGTATTTGTCGGTCGTGTGTTTCTTCTTGAGATGTTTGTGTGTAACCCCCTTTTGTCTCATGGCTTCTCTTTGACACTGCATTTACCGCTGGCTCTACAGGTTCTAGAGTATTTTGCTTCATGAAGGTCACCTCCCTTTGTGTGAGCTCTAAAGCTCTGGCACTGTCTATGAGTGTTTTCAAATCCATATCCTTTGCTATAATGTCTCGTTGGAGTTTGTCTGACGGAGTGTGTAGGGTGACCACTAGCTTAATTGCTTCATCTAATGTCATGTTCTCAAATTCACAGTCTTTACCTTTTGTTCGGAGTCTGGTTATCCAGTGGTCATGAGTTTCCTCTGGTGATGTGGGCTTGGTGCAAAAAAATCGGTATCGATCCGCTGTCAAATTCTTTTTTGGTGAGAAGTGTGCTGTGAGAGCGTCCTTTGCGGCCTTGTAAGTATCCCCCTCGACTGTAAGGGTGGAAAAAATCTCCCTGAGGGTTTGTCCTCCTACTGTGAGCAGTGCTGCCCTCCTTTTCGATGCTCCCTCCGCAGGGTCAGTTACGCCTTCAAAGTCTAGCACTAGTTCAAGGTTTTCCAGCCATTCTTTCCATCGTCGATCTACGTTTTTGCCCGTATCCGATAATTCCTCTGGTTTAAATTCTGGCACACACGCTTTAATGCTTGTTAATATTGCTGTGGCCATTTGTACTGTGATGTTGCCCCGTTTATCTGCTGAGATTATAATCTGTGTTTTCCTGTATAATTTTCAAACAAGATGGCGTCCCCTATTCCGTATCGTCGTATCTGTTGAAATAATTCGCTTATCCTACCTCGTAAAGATGAGGAAATGATGTCGCTGTGGCCGTGTTGTAAGCCTGCTTCCTTGGTTGGTTTCGATATATTATTTTTAGCTTATGATCTCATCCTCGTCGCCATATGAACAGTCTATTTGATAACAGTTTAATTATAACACAACACTTCACAATACGCCGATCTAAGAGAGCGGGAGTTCTCTAGTGTTTCCACTTACCGGCTCGTGTTTCCACTTACTGGATATAACAATAACAAATTAATTAACAAATATAAATATGATAGAAGAGAATTTGTATATTTAATCAGCTATTTCCCAAAGTCCTGGGTCTAGTTGCATGAATCCCTTGTTGGAGGGACAAGAAATATGGCAGCACACATTTAAATTAAAGTTTAATTAATGTAAAAAGATGTTTCATTTTTGGTCGTGTAAAAAGTTGATATTTGATAGTAGATATTGATATTTGAAAGTCTTGTACAAACCACTTGTACTGGAGTGCAAGAGCCACACATGATGGAAATAGTGAAGTTATTCGGGCTAAGTTCTCATCATTCCTAAGTCATGTGGTTGATGAACATGAAAATTTGGGCAATCCGCTGTTCAACAAATGTGGGCATAGAGAGATAATTGAGCCACAAAAATGGTTAGATAAAGGCAGGGGTGCCGGAAGGGACTGACAAGCGGCGGGGGCAGAATCTTGAAAAGGGCACTCGATCGCCGAAGGCGCGAAACCTCTTACAGCGTCCAGGGGCATCCCTCCCGGGAAATTTGATATCTAGAGTCTCTGAAATGCCATTTCATGCATTTTGGGCAGAGATTTGACATAATTTTGAGAATTAATAAACATCACATAAAATACAAAAAACAGTGAAAGTTTTAAGTATATGGGTGGAATATTTTGGTAGCTAATGAAGTCTCACAGTTTGCAGCCAAATATTTCTATACAAGATCAGATTTTTAATAGATTTTTAATAGATTATGAATAGATTATGAAGATAATAACATGTAGGTCACAAACATTGTGCAAGGCAAAACAGAAAGAGCGCAAAATATTGTTACAATAGCAAGCTAACACAAATACAGTTGATGCAAATATACTCGCACAATAATGTAGAGTAAACTAAATTGATATATAATAAGATCAAGGAATAATAAACCGATAATAACCGATTGTAACACTGCACTATAAAACCGACAACTCTAATATGTAATCCTTGTTTGCTTGCATATGCCAACGTATATCCCAACGAAAAAAAAGTGAGTTAGCTATCACAGTTCAGTGCTTCTAATTATTTATAGTAGAGGCAAAGAAGTTAAACAAACTAAAAAGTTAAAAACTAAACATAAAGAGCTTGCATATCTTGGATGGAAAATCACAAGAAGCTGGAAACATGTAGTAATTAGTACAACCGTATAAGCTTAAATTTTGCTATAATATGTCACATTAAACAGTCACTGCACATCCCTGCACATACATCCACAAACAAACAAGCTACAATTTCCTTTGTATTTGAAATATATATCCTTTGTATTTGAAATATATAAGTATTTTAGGCTGATTTTAAGATCGAATAACTTTGGCAGTATGTTAGTGAGGTAACCAAGCTGTTTGCTCTTCAGTTTTGAGTGTAGTTTTGCATATGTTTTTTGATTGCTAAGAATTATGTTTTTAGAAGATAAAGATCTTATTTCAAACTTATTTCAAGAGAAACATTTTTTTTTGGGCGGGGGCAGAGGGCAGACCTGGTCGAGCATTTGTGGACAGATACATTGCTAGTCCTGGCTATGTCCCTAGCTGGAATGCTTTAAAAACCATGTAGAACAGAGCAAGACTTATCACGAATGTGTTATTGTAGTGCCAGAGGATGACTGCGCTAATCAACTACAGAAATTTAGGTGTGTGAAGAAATTAGAAAAATGTAGAAGGCTTATATAACTAACAAGGCGATCAACATAGCCCGGGTAATGCGTAAATGAACCATGAAATGAACGTGGTCATAATATATACTTATACATATGACAAGTCAACAATGATAACTTATTTAATAACTTATTAGTTATAATAAGTTTTTAGACTTTTTTTTGTTTTTAAATATTTATTATTACGAGCTTTCGACTGCCAGTCTGCAGTCTTCAACGGGTGGATTACAATGAAAAACATGTTATTGTTTATTCGAAGCCTGCAAATACAGTATATTTTTTTCTTATAGAAACATACTATATTAAGGTATATCAAATTAGCAGTATATATTTAGCTATTATATATTTAGACTAAGCAAAAAAATATGTTTTTATACGGGTTTAAATTAATATTATAGTGTTCAGTTCAGTGTTCAATTAATATTATAGTGTTCATTTTTTATTGTGGATTACAATGACATTACTTTCATTGTAATCCACCCGTTGAAGACTGCAGACTGGCAGTCGAAAGCTCGTAATAATAAATATTTAAAAACCAGAGAACGTCTAAAAACTTATTATGAATAATCCTGGTTTCGCTTCAAACATATTTAAACTTATTAGTTAATGACTTAATCCTTTTGTTGTCACAAAAAGGGGCAACCAGTTGACCCTGCGCTGCCCCTGTGGCTCCGGTACCCCTGGATAAAGGTACTACACCTGCACACATTTTGCACTGTTTTATCTCAACCATTCTGACACAGGAGGCTGAGGAACTGACCTTGTTATTTAAAAAATAAATTTTTTGCAGCACAAAAAAGGCAAAAATATCATTAAATAACTACTATATTATATTGGTTGAAGTTAAATGAAGTAATGCAACTTGCACATTGACGGCACGCCAAATTACTGCAGGCACGAACGCTTTCGCTAGATTGTTTACAAGCTAAATATAATGAAAGGGACGAAACTTCCAAATTTAGAATTCGGACGTCACTTTCAAAACATCATAATTCGCATAATTAAAATTCTACAGAAACACACCATATTATGCACACAACATAGAAAGGATATAGTCTCAATATTTAACTAAAAAATCTGGGAAAATGGTAGTTAGACCTACAAATATAACGAATAAAATGCTGGTACATATTTCGCTATTTTTGTATGATGTGCACCGCAACAAGTAGTGACAGAAATGACGAAGAGTTGAATTGTGCATGACAGGAAGTGGTTTTACGCAGTTTTACAATCAAATATCACAAATCAATAGTTTGATTTCCCAATAAGCAACCAAATTCAGCCGTAATAAAATCCGGTAGGTTTTCCCATTGAATAGAATCATCACTCCATTGTTTTTAACAAGCGAGTATACCCACGTTCTCGTCCCGTTTATTCTTTTTTGGAATTTATTCAAATTTGGGAAAACCTCTGCCAAAATTTTCCCTAATTCAACTACATGCAGGTCGCAGTTTTCTTTTTCAGACCAATTATTATTGTATTCTTGAAGAATATTTTGAAGTGTCACAAATGATTGAGTACTGTCTGCATCTGTTCAGTAATTTATTCGAAGCCTGCAAATACAGTATATTTTTTTCTTATAGAAACATACTATATTAAGGTATATCAAATTAGCAGTATATATTTAGCTATTATATATTTAGACTAAGCAAAAAATATGTTTTTATACGGGTTTAAATTAATATTATAGTGTTCAGTTATTTTCAAACGTCTTTACCAAATTGAAACAATAACATGTTTTTTTCTGTTGTACAACTTTGGTTTTTTATTAGATTTATTGTTTATTTCTATATGGGATGTGTGTCGTTTAAGAATAGATCTGTCCATTCTACAATATAAATATTTAAATTTCCCTCCACACCTGTTGTTTTTATTTTAAAAAAAACAGAATATAATTAGCAACAGAATTTAAGTGGAATCACCTCCTGTACGTCACTTCCATCACTAGTTGTTGCGGTGCACAATGCAACGATGCAATATTGGAAGTTTCTTCCCTTTCTCAATTTTCTTTCGTCCCTCCCTGAGGTGCACATCGTTTCCCAAAGCAAACTTCGTTTGCGAACTTCGTTTGCGATTCGGGCAATGCAAGCCTGCAGTGTAGTGGGTTGCGGTTATACACGAGTCTAAAACAAAACTTTTCGAATATGAAAATATATAAACTATACATTGTGATGTTTTTATATCTTGAATTAAGTGGAATTAATTGATGGATGAATTCAATTAATTGCAAAAGATGATATTTAGATAACAAGGTAAGTCATTCGATTGTTTATTCAAAATAAAACAAAACATGATTGCTCCTCTGCCCCCTTTGTTATGATCATCTACATGTAGGCTGGTAATGTTTGTTATGACATTTTTCCTAAATTCTATTGCATATGAAAAAATGTGTTAATCACTCACTAACAAAAGGCTGGTAAAAGGAATAAAGCAAGCTTCCCCAATCGAACAAACGAGTTGTTTAGAAGGATTCCATTCTGTGCTGAATCAATTCTTTCCCAAGATGATTGGCTACACTTACAGAGGAATGTTTTGTAGGTATGTATTGTACAGATACTGTAATGATGTAGGGGTTTGGCATACACTTTGAATACTGCACAGGGACATTCCAGTCTCATCTGAGAGGGGGGGGTGCAGATTTTTCAGGGGGGTGCACCCTTCCACCACCAGTGCAAATTGTGTCAAAGATGCCTTAGATCATAAGGAGTATACATGTGTCATTTGTTGCAGGCATGCATTAGCGGTCATCCATTTCAATCAAAACCTATCTCGGGAAACAAGAATGAAAAATGGTGTTGAACAATGCAATGTTGTTTATCCCAAGTTCATGAATGGAGAAGCAGTTGTCAGAAAGGTTCCAGTGAAGCAAAACTTTGGTAAGGTGATTGGTTAGTCATTTAAATTACATGCAGTGTGGCAAAGATTCCCTGAACCCCTCTCCTACATAGTTTAGAGCCAGTTTAGAACATCAAACAATTGACAATCGAGAGGATTCATTTAAATTGTTTTTGATGAAAAACCAGGGCCGGATTCAGACAGGTTTGACAGGTTTATATAAACCTGTCAGATTTTCCAAAGAGAGAAAAAACCTTCCATGTATATAACTAATTTAAAGAATCTTCTGTTTCATAAAATTGATGTTGTCTAATCTATTACGCCACTTAATAAACACTGTTGTTGAAATTTGATTATGGATTACCGAGCGTATAATTATAAGGACTTATCGCCCTGCATGGTTTCCTCTTACGAAATGTTGTAATACTAGACTAATAATCTGCTAATATATCGTCGTGGGTCGTGGACTTGTAAACATTGCATGAATCACACATAACCGCCCGCAATTATGAGTAAACCGGTGGTCAGAGTTTTCTCCATGAGAGTAAACCGGTCGATACGCCATTCGATTGGCTAAACGGCTGCGCTCCGGCGGATGTAAACCGGTCATAAACCTGTGAGTCGAGCAGTATTTAGAGAAAACTGGGCATGAAAGTTAACAGAACTCGAGGACGCGCGAAATATGTTTATAATTTTGCGTGACTGAATCTTTGCGTTGGCGATAGAAGCATTTACATGGATTTCTTGTTCATTTTGAAGGTTTGTTGAGAAGTATATTGTCTAAAGTTATAACAGTAAGCTATTTCTACTTACTGTATAGTAAATATCGATTCATAAACAAACGTATCGATGTTTATACGTGTAACTACAGTCTATACTCATGATAGCGCGAAATATGATAATATGCGTATAATCTTGCGTGACAGAATCATTGCGTTGGAAAATCAGGAAATGATTGTGATTATTTGTGAAGCTTTATTCACGCTCTTGCAGTTTGGTTTCTAGTTCATTGTTAAATTTGGTTCGAAAGCGTATAATCTAAAATTACAACTATGTTTATATTAAAAGCATCTCTACTTGTACTTATAATAACTATTGATGCATCAGCAATTCAGTTGCCAATCCTATATTTTCAGTACTAGCTAATAGGTTTCCGAAAAGGTTCAATTCATCGTTTGAGCTGCGTGTTAGTCCAAAATTCTCTTTAAAGATATATTTTCTAATCATTAAATTCATTTAAAAAGTGACGCCAGAACGCAGGAAATGCTGTTTCAGAGGCCCAAATTTTAAAAATTTCCCGTGGGGGATCATACCGCCGGACCCCTCTAATGGTTGTGTGAACCTAGTAAACCGGTCACCCAAAACGCTGAATCCGCCCCTGAAAACAGTATAAATACACATATTTTTGTTTTTAATAGATTATGTGGAGGACATATATCAAACCATGGTAGATGCTATTGGGGGCAAAAAACTGGATGATGCAATAGATGAACTGAAGGAACAAACACCATCTCCTATGAATACTATGCTTAACAAGCAGTCAAGGGAAGAAGCTATTAAAAAAAAGGAATACAAGGGATAGAATGCAACTTGTGGATGTTCCTCCAACAAACCCAGGTATTTTTTCAAATTAGGTATAAAACAACTAGACTTGAAATCAGTGAATAATGCAATGACGGTTGACCATCCTAAGTTTGTGACATTCTATTATTTTAGTTCCTACTGCTGCAGTTGGCAACCAGGACAATCATCCTCCTAAACCAAGGAGTGCACAAAAATGCAAGATGTGTGCAAGCAGTCGATGAAAGGCCACAAAAATGTGGTTGATTGTCCATGAAACAAAAAGGATTAACAATATTTTTATTTAAATCTATATTATATATCCATTCTAGCAAACTATTAATACAGTACTAAACAATGTTCATTGGCTTTCGTCATCTGTTTCCAGTTCATCATAACCAGTAAATACATCATCTGTGGGTTTATGAGTTGAACGTATAGCAGTATATGCACAAGAATGCAATGGGATTCTTTTGTCCTTCAACCGACCATGCACCATGCGGGTAAATTGCTGGTATGCAATAACTCTTAGAAATCTAAATGGCAATATAATATTTAATTACGATCATTACATATGAAATTGCATATTATATTATTGTAACCAGATAGACAATAGTGTGTGTGTGTTCATTGTACAGGTAAATGGTGTTTGTTGATGAAATACTCGAACAGAAATAAGACCTAGACAGGAACAGTTGAGAAAATGTGACTTACAGTAGGCCCTCTGGCAGGAATTGAATATGCGGCCCTGTAATTTTAGTGCAGCGCTCTAACCAACTTTTTCAATTCCAACCAGAGCACCTAAGTTGCATTTTTACAACTGTTCCTGGCTGGGTCTGAAAATATATCAAAACTTTAGTTCTGGTATACAAACCACAAGCACTTATATTAACCCTATCAAACAATCTTGAATATGCCATTGTCTATTTCAAAAAGGCTAATCAGATAAATAGACTTGGTGGGCTCTCTTTTAGTCTTTTCACAGGCTGATTGGAAAGTTTGCAAAATGCATGAGGAGCATCTTGGCAGCAATTTTGTCAGCAATTTTTCTCTTCCTGATCGAGCAAATAACATATCAAGGTATGCCTTTGTAAAACCAATATGATAATGGTCATATTACTCACATGGGTTTGTTCGTTCTAAGTTCATATTACGCACACAGTAGGGTAAGGGATTGGCATCAAGATCAAAGAGAAATATTAGTGACTCGTAACATGGCCTTTAATAACACATTTGTTTGTGAGTCCACTCATTCGAATACGTCAGGAGAATAATTGCCGACAACATGGCATAAGCCCAAGTCTGGGTAGTTACTATTTATTATAGCAGTATGCCATTAAATTATATACTTTTCTTTTGAACCACTTTGCTTATAACAATGGCCATCACAGGTTTTAAAATTGTCAGCAGCAAGATCCAAGGACCATCTGTTAAGCAAATAGCTGGAAAACTGGGATGATTGATTGTGCATGTTAGTTCGTCTTGCTCACTTTGCAGCATATGGAGTCCTTAGAAAAGTTGTCCAAAAATTTCACACAATTCTATTTCTTTGCAACAACAACACTCTTTAGCATTCTGCAACAGTTCAATGCTACAGTTGCCACAACTGCACCTAACCACAAAAATATACAACTTCAGTATATATTAATATACATTCTACATGGAAGACAAAACATTTTATACCACATACTATTTAAAATATAAATCACAACAAAAGAAGGTGAAAAATTACCACAATGTTACAGGCTTGCTTCCATTCCAACAAAGTTCTAATTCTGCCATTCTTTCGTTGTTTTCTTCCTGCCTTCGATGATAGTCTTCTAGCCAAACATCATCAGCAATCGGTTCATCAAAGTAGGCCTCCAGGTCTGTGTTGTCATCAATATGGCTGTCCTCATGATCGACTTCAAAGTCCGCATTTCTTGCTTTCTTGACATTCATCTTCCATTTTGTATGGCATACTGGGCAGAAGCATTGCTATACACACTCGAGAATGAATTTAAATGGACATTTCACACTCTTTGCTTAAAAAATAGCCGTTTTTCCAATTCGCCTGCTCGAACTGTAATGTATTTTATAGTAAAGTGAAATAGATAGGTTCCTGGGATCCAATCCCCTGCTATGCACTACTTTTTTTTGTCTAAATAGCAACTTTGAGGCCCAGTATCTCCGAAACTAAAATTTTAACGTAAAAACTAATCTAGAACTTACTAACTTTTTATAAAATAAAAAACAAGTGAAAATCGATAACATTTTGATGACTGAAATATAATCGAAATGTAGATAAATAAAAATGTTATCGATTTTTGGAGTTTCACTTGTTTTGTATTTTATTAAAATACTCAGTGGTTCTAAAAATTTTTGACTTTTTATGCTCTATCCGAATCATCAAAAACCCATTTTGGGTTTATAAATCTAAAACAGAAACGTAAATCAGAGGCGAAAAAACTCATTAAAATGATGCATTTTATCCCCATATCCGTTCTGTGGATCCGCATTTTAATCTAATTGTGACGTGTTCACAATAACAAGTCTCATTGACTTTTGACTTATTTTGAAGGTTGTGTTGTTTCATGAGTCATTTTCAGCTTTTCGCATGTATTCAATAATGTCACTTTAGATTTCAATAGTTTCACAGTTATAGCAGTGTTTATAGCAGTTTTGACAAGCTTTGATACAGATAGATTCTTGTAAGATCTGGTAGAGTTCTCGTTGCACTGAACATGAGTTTGCAAAGATTCTCTCAATATTTATGTCTGAAATGTTTATAAATTTGAAAACAACACTGTCTCGCTGCTTCCTAGCTCTTTATAATGAATATACCGTCAAACTAATATCGGCACTTAATTGAATGCCCGTGATGCAAAACATCAATTTGTATATTGCGTAGAATCTCAAAGATTTTCTCAATATTCATGCCTGAAATGTTCATACATTTCAAAAGACAAAACAACACTGTCTCGCTGCTTCCTGGCTTTGTATATTGAAATTGAATATACAGTCAAAATAATATCGGTACTTAATTGAATGCCTGTAATGCATAAGTAATAATGTCAATTTTTATATATTGTGTAGATTCTCAAAGATTTACTCAATATTCACGTCTATAAAAATGTTTATAATTTGAAAACAACAGTGTCTGCAGTGTCGCTCCTTCCTAGCATCGTCACACCATTGTGATCTACGGGCTTAATAGCGCATGTGCATTTGCGCTGGTAAAGAAAAAATGGGTGTTCCGGGGGAAAGATCCTTCACACAACACGGAGGAAGCAAATGTTATAAAATTGACAAAAATTTACAATAAGGGACCGGTCATAAAGTAAAAGGGGGATGGGCTGGGAAAATCATATATTTGGTGTCTGCAATTTTGGTAGCCCACCCCTTAATAGTTGCTCTAAAAATCCTAAAAACTTATTTTCATTAATATTTTGCATTATCTGATAATATCTGAAATACTGTAACTACTATACAGTAGCTGTATTTTCATTGTTTAGTCAAGGGTGTTGAATTTTCATTGTGGATGGGATATAGTAGAACAAAAGATGTCAGCAACCTAAATCCCCCCTAACAAAAAGAGTGTTTGCCCCTAACAAATGGACTTTGTAGCTCAGTTGCTTAGAGCGCTGTACCGAAATCACATGGCAGTAAGTTCGACTCCTGCCATAGGGCCAATAGTTGCATTTTTCACAACTGTTCCTGGTTATAGGTCTAAAAATTTATATAAATTTTCGTTGAGCCACAGTCTATATATTGTTGGAGAGCATAACTGGAGTCGTGCATTTGGCTATTCTGGTAATTGACACGAATACACCCTGGAAATTTAGAAACACTCCCAAAATGTAAAATCCTAGCTAAATATCTAAGAACCTGTGCAGCTGGGGTACCCAGTTATTCACCTATAGCAATGAAAGATTTTCGGAAAATGAGTGAACTTCCCAGGCTTTTAGCCAGAAGGGCGTCCAGGCATACTGGGACGCCCCCAGAACAAAAAATGGATGCCTTTGGACGCCCAAATTGTTATGACAGAGAAATCCAAGACTTGGTCTTTTATAAGGCACTATACGGTTACGTAGACTTAGACATAGGCAATTATGTTAGTTTTGTTAGTCATGATCGTTCTCAACTAACCTTAAATCCTAGTCTATTACTTCAAGTGCCGTTATGTAGAACAACTACATTTAAAAACTCTTACTTTAATCGAACAGTTCATTTATGGAATGTAGTGTGTAGAACTGCATCACCTAATAGCTTCGTGACATTATTTACTTTTAAGAACTTTCTTCATCAGACTTATTCGTTTTTACGTAATTCAGTTTTTGACGTAGACATGCCATGTACCTGGTCTCTTGTTCGAGACTGTCCATGTCACAGAAACTAAAATAATGTATAGTTCTTTGATTGAAGTAAAGTTCGTTTCGTGTACATGCCCAAGTCATATGTTTTCTAAACCAAGTTAGTTTTATTTTCAGTACAAATTTTCCAAAATCTACATGCATTTTACGTATTTGGAACCTCAACTATAATTTATAGTGTAATGTAATTTTTTGTGTAAAGTTTATAAGGGAGGTGCCTCGCATGGGCTTTTTCTGACCCGTTCGCACGTTTCCTTTTGGGTAATACCTATTTAGCATTATTGTTAGTATTCCCAATAAAGTTATAAAGATATTGTAGTGATGGCCAGTCATAGACATAGTCGTGGCACAAGTTTTGTGAGATTTGGGACTTCTGGTCTGGGGGAAGAGTTTATTGGGGCTAATGAGCACCAATCAAGTTCCCCAACTGGAAAAGCAGTTTTTAATGTCTTTTCCTCATATATCAGAGGTAAGTTGTTTGTATTTTTTTTGTTGGGCATTTTTTTCAGAAATTACCTTTTGTATTTCAATAGACCATGAATAGACATTTTTCATAAAGACGTCAACAAGTTTCATTACTGACGAGCCAATCAAACTTAGTGTAACATCTTGTATCCCACATTTGACATCATTATGAAAAAATCCATTAAAATTTTCAACATGAGTAGTCAAATGTACAATTATATGAGCACTAAAGTAAATGAAGGGAATAATCATAGTCTTCATAGTTTTAAATAAGTTTAGCATATCACTTGGCTTGTGGAAATATTTTCAACGGCACTCACAATGCAAATGAAGTTAATATGCAAGCTTTGACTGTTTCCCATCATTCCTTTAGCGCTCATATAATTGAAGGTTTATGGAGGTGTTAAAGTTTCTGTGATCACAGTGGGGATTTTGCATAGGTACATCCTAAGTTTCATATAATTTGCTAGAAATGTTTGAGGGAACTAAAACAGTGCTTAGCATTGAGCTACTTCGCCCTGATGTTTATTACAAACCCTTTTCAAGGACCTCAAAATGGCATGAGTCTGAAGGACGAGTGCTATTTGAGTCTTTGAAAAACTCACGAGTGCATGTTATTTTCAAATTTCACGAGAAACCATGCTATTACTTATTAATAATTTACATAAAAGTATTCGAGACAATCAAATTTGAACTTGACAAAGAACAAGTAAACAAATAACAAATAAGAACAAATATATTTATAACTATACGTCAAAATGCATGCATAAACTTCAGATAACACACCTGTCAAAGCAGTTGGTACAAAAAACTTCTTTCAAACAGTTCTTCTTGAACCCCAAATTTTTACTTTTTCCCCCAAACAAAGCTCAATTTTGATTGGTTCATAGTGATTACACAAAATTGAACTGTGATTACACAAAATTGCACTGTGATTACAGATTCCTGCACTACTGTTTGGGATTAAATGCACTGAAACCAATCAATCACAGTCGAGTAATATTTTTATGTATATTAATTATTATGTTGGTAATTAGTATTCCCTGAATAATGTGATGTATTAAAATGTATACAGAATCATATAACCTGTACCTGTAGTTAGCGCTCAAAAATAAGAAGTATGTTAGTCTTGTTAGAAGCTTCTTATTCTGGAATTCATTTGTCTTTTATAGCGAACAAAAAGTCAGACCCTAAAAGGCCTACTCTAGGTAAAGAAGAACCTCCATCACAATATATGTCCCCTGCTGTATCTATTCCTTCCCCTGTTACTCCTATTCCTTTTGCCACTTCCATATTCCATGTTACGTCTATATCTTCATCTATGGCCACTTCTGGACCTTCATCCTTATCTTCTTCAATAAATTCTGGACCTTTGTCCTATCTTCTTCTGTCACTTCTCAACCTTCGTCCTTATCTTCCTCGGTCACTTCTAGACCTTCGTCCTTTTCTCATCCTCCTTTCATTGATCCACCTCTTTCCACTAGTCTTTCTTCCTCACCTACCACAGGGCCCACCACTACAGATAGTGCTTCATTGAATACAACAATCAAGTTACCTACAGGTACTGTACATATTGTATCTTACAAATGTTGGCTTTATTTTCCTTGATAAAGATGTGTTTAGGTATTGTTTTTTGACAGACTAGCTGTGTAGTTATATAGTACTTAATTATGTATGTTTTTTATAAGTGTTGTTGTTCCATAGTTGTTGAACTGGTCAAAGTTGTGGGTATCAGCAAGTACCCATTGTAAATTGATCGCGTAATCGTCAATACACGTTTTAGTGTTTCATGTTTCACCTTGAGTTCAATATGAGTCTCGAACTCTTCTTATTTCAAATATTATAGCAAGGTTCAGATTTAACTACCGCTACCTTCCGCTGACCTTTTGCGCATGTGATTGGTTAATCGGCTAGATTTAATGTATCCGATTGGTTAATGTTCTCTTAATGGTAGCGGTAGTGTTAACTAGTGGAAATCAAATCTGAATATCGCTATTGAGTCCAAGATGGTGTGGTTTTATAGCTGCTCTATTACTGACTGTGTTACTATTTTTTATCATTTACTAGACGCTTTGGTTCTGGATGACAACGGGAAGTGTGTCGCCGTTGGCAAATCCGTGCCTCTCACAAGTGTGCACGGTCAAATAGACCCGATACCCATAAATGCATTTTGTTGACCTGGGCTCAGGATAATTACCTCGCGCCATTCCCATGTGGAAACAGGGATCTGAAAGAGAACTTATATTTTTCAAAGACTCATTTTATGCTGTACCACGTACAATGTTGAGACAGCTTATTCGAAAGAATAACCAATATTCTCTTTCTCCAATTAGTTAAAGTTAGCTTGGAAGCATAGATATCTTATATACACTAGATAGCACATCTCTTTTAGTAAAATTGAAGCCAAGAATATTCCAGCGGTTTCCCCCATTTGAATAGATGGCGGCCATGTTGGTCGTTCCCACTTGCTAATAAACACTTTAAAACAACAATAACTTTCATCATTTGAATAGTTTAAAAACGTATTTGGAATAGGGTTAACTTAATGTTTAAGTTCCCTGTTTAAGAAATAGAAAACATACGAATCTTCTCATTTATGGGAACGACATGAGACTGCAATCACGGCTTCAATTTTTAAATTGCAGAATAATTAGATGCACTATCTAGTGTATATAAGATATCTATGCTTGGAAACCCTCATCACAATTTTTTCTCTATTTTTTCCTGGCTACGCCATTGGTGTCCATTCTTAGTGCATTTATCATAGCTAAATCGTATTCTAGGAATTTGTTCGTGTATATCTAAGGGAGCTTTCATTGGCCAAATTCATATTAGGGATGGGAAACTCATCTAATATATATCGGGGGGCAGACATATTTTCCGTCCGAACTTTACCGTCTAACTTTACCTGTCCAAACAGACGATAAAGTTAGACGGGTATACCATCCAGATGAGAAACTCGCCTTCTTTCTAAAATTATCCATCCCAAAATTCATATTCAGACGGGTTTTCCCAGACATAGTTTCCCTTCCCTACTCCCTAATATGAATTTCAATTGCATGGCTATTATCATGTTGAGACTGGTCAGATTGATCATGAAACACAAAACATTTGCGATTAGGATCCTTCAAATCAAATACACAGACAAAAATTTGGTCTCATCGGTCGGGTAATTGAGTGGAAATCGCCCTATATGTAGGATTTGTTAATTAGTATTTCAACAGTGTATAGGAACTTTTACGGATGTTTCAGATTTTTATATTGTATAGAATAACTAGTATATTTTATTAACTATTGTTATTAAAATACATTTGTCAAGCGAAAGTTGGCATGTAGAATGTTTAGATCTGCTCACTGCATTGATATTTGATTGATTAAAATAAGCAACCATTTGCTCTCTAGAATCTCGAGGAGAGACACCAATTTAATTTGCATTATTGGAAATTGGGCTTCCACGTACACAAGAATATATTTAAAACGTTATAGATGGTTTTTAAAGATATATTTTACAAGTTCATCATAACATACATATTTGTGGTCCTAACATCAAAATTTTGTTTGTAATTTTCTAAAAGGCAAGTAAAAGCCGTGCCAATCTGGGTAAGGCAAAAAATGGGAAAATGCTATAAATTGCTGTTCTCCGAAACAAACTCCCAATGTTATCTTGTAAACTGTTAAAAATAACAAGACACAAAATTGGTTTGACTTCCGACAATAAAGTCGAAATATCACCAGAATTTTGTATCTTGTTATAATGTTATTTTAACAACTCAAGTTTGCAAGATAATGATATTCAGAGTTAGTTTAATTTCGTTTTACATTTCTTAAAATTATCTGCTGAAAAAGGATTTTAATTGCTCTTGAATGAACTTTCAACGAATTTTAAATGAACTTTCAATGCTGGCTGCATGACAAATTATCAGTTTTAGGTGTACACAACACATTTGCTATCTAAGACCTAGCTTTCACAACTGAAACAAAAATACCCCCATCGTATTGTGTGTGGTGCTCTTTATTTGTTACATTTATTTATGATATTCATAGAAGCATGCGCGTCTGTGAAATTGGGGTCGATTTCGTTATAGGGGTGTAGAAACACTGTATTTCGACGGTACATGTAGTGTAAAAGACAAACTTCGACATCGATTTACTGTCTGAAACTTTGCATGTCAGTTTAACTCTTTTAAAGCACGGCCATTAAAGTTAGTACGTGCACATACTAAGTCTGTTTCATTCATATGTTCGGTTCAGTAAACGTTATGTAGATGAAAATACCACCATTCGATTCAGTGTAAAAATATATACTAGTTTATAACGATAGTTTTAGTCAGTGGCTACATTGTAGCGATTGATAAGCTTTGAAAGTCAAACGGGCTTATATATGATCAAATTATGCAATATTACTAACAAATTATAAACATAGACATACCTTTCGCCGAACATAACTTCGGCCCCTTGAGACGTATGCTCATTCTTGTATTCTTGATGAATGAAGCAGTTAAAAATAACACGTATAGTGTTATTTTCAAGCTTCTATCTTTAAAACGTGAGTATTCTTAAATTTCAGGTCAGTCGAACAAATAGAAGTATGCAATGTGTGAAATTGGGGTCGATTTTGTCATAGGGATGTAGAAACACTGTATTTTGACGGTACATGTAGTGTAAAAGACAAACTTCGACATCGATTTACTGTCTGAAACTTTGCACGTCAGTTTAACTTGCCAATTGAAGTATCATACTGAAATTTCAGGTCAGTCGAACAAATAGAAGTATGCGATGTGTGAAATTGGGGTCGATTTCGTCATAGGGGTGTAGAAACACTGTATTTTGACGGTACATGTAGTGTAAAAGACAAACTTCGACATCGATTTACTGTCTGAAACTTTGCATGTCAGTTTAACTTGCCAATTGAAGTATCATATTGGAATTTCATAATTTACATAATTTACATAATTTCTATTTAATGCAGATTGTTTAGGCAGGACGTTTTACAATACAATAATCAACACTCAAAACAATTTACGATAACTTTTTAATAAATGTTATAAGTATATCTAATATCTAAACGTAATTTACAGTATCATGCAACCTGAACTTTACTAAAATATGTCAATTGTATAGTTAAAAAAGAAAATTATCCATATAAATAGTCCATTATAAAAGTATCTAAAAAATTTCTGCTGCATTAGCATTTACATTAAAATCATCTATGAAGTCATTTGCGTTCTTAAAGGGCCTTCTAGATCCCCTGACACAAGTGTTCACCGATCTTAAAATCTCAAAAGATAAGCGTGTTCTAATCCATGAAATGACTGCGTGGTAAGGTTCCCCGTCCCTTCGTGAAAGCTTATCAGCAAGGTGCTTCAGAAGCATTTGGCATTCTGTTCCCATACCACCGTTGGTACCAAGAACCAAAGGTGTGAACGTACCCATTTCGACATCTAGCACTCGCTGTTGATATTTTCTCTTCTTCTCGTTCTCGTGCTCTTTAAAGATGGTAGTCGTAGGCTTGTTCTGGTTACACTTGGAGTTGACATGCATTATTCTAACATGAAAAAATGCTGTCACTCGTTGCCAGAAGCCTCCTGCCTTTATGTCCAATCTTGCCTCCGGACTAGTGACAGCAGTTCTGTGGCGGAATTGTTCGTTATCCAGCGGTTGAAGACGAGGCTCTGATTCCACATTCTTGCATACCTTGCTAGTAAGCAAAGTTAGAAAATCTCGAATACCGTCGTGCCTCTGGGCTACAAACCCACCCTTCTTACACGAAAGGGCGTGGTTAATTGTAAATCTCTCTCCACATACACAGAAGCTTGGTAAATCCTGCAGAGGTATGTTGTACCGCAATCGTAGGGAGTCTCTGAATTCTTGTTTATTCATGGCTAGCCCTTGCTCTTCAAGGGGTATTGTGTTAAGCCATGAGCTCGCTCCCTTATCTCTCGACTGGTTTACCAAACACATAAGCTCATTAGACAGAGAAGAGTCAATAGTTTCCATTCTTGCTTTGACGGAAGTCGTTTTAAGTGACTGGTGGTAAATTTTACGATCTTCTGCAGATACGTCACCTTTCGTCTTGAAGGGCCTTTGTGTGACGATGGATTCAACATGCGAAGTTGTTATAGATGTTGATGCAGCATACTGCTGTGGGGCATCTATTCTCAAGTCTGGTATACCAAGGCCGCCTTGCGCTGGTGTCAACGTGAAAAGCTGACGTAGCTCACCGGGGAGCGGTTCTACTTGCCCAAAGAGTGTTGGAAGAAACAAATCATCAATCGCTTCATGGATTGGATCTACATATTCTTCAAATGATTCAATTGTCCGCATGAAGTATGTAAATTTAGATTTGTAACTCTTTGTAAAGGCAATATATGATGCATGGGGTTGATTCTTCGCAATTTCAGAGAGTGCTTCAATTTCTTTCTTCCATTTGAGGACTTTATCACCACAGTACTGGTCTTTGTAATCTTTGGATCCAATAACGGCTCCAAGGTGGCTATGACCTTCTGTTGTAACATTCACTTCCTCCCCAAACACCTTCTTAGCTTCCTCTGCTAAGAGCTCCGACTTGACAATCAACCAACTTTTTGATCCATTGACGAAATAGCCATACTTCGTTCGTTCGAGAGTCAACTGCTTGTACCAATCATACAATGGCACCAGCTTTCCTCCCCCAGCTGAGTCATCAGCCAACCATACCTGCTTAACTTCTGGGGTTTGTATCCTCAAGCTCTGGATCATGCTGGATGTAGTAACCGAATACCAGGGCATAGCCAGGGGATCACCTTGTGTGGTTCCCTCTTGTGACAATATCTCGCCACCGCCGGATATAAATAGCCTGGATGGACCCCTATACGAATTTATAATATATATAGACATTTCTTTACAGATTATGCGAATGTTGTGCATAGCTACAGACCTGTTCATTCGGTTGAATGCATTGCTGGATCAATCAGTAATATCCCATCTGTCCCCTCCTGTGCAAAAACTTGGCTCATGGTGTGTATGGCAGCCTCAGCCCCTGCACTGTGTGCAGCGCTAACTTGAAGGGGGCCTGCTGCTTCCTGGATTTCCTCCTTTAGGAAGGTGGTAACTGTTTTACCAATAATACGCCTCAAAACCTCGCCTACTCCGATTGGTCGAATTCCCGGATTCTTGTCTAGTGGGATGAATCTGCAGGAGGTGTAACCTTCAAGTAGGGATGGATGGTAACTCGTCTTCAATAGATTTCTGGTGAGAATTGCTAATTCTTCTCTCAAGATCTTGCCCTCAGTCTTGAAGTTCTTGGAGCAAAGGATTCTTTGATACAGTTCCGCATCCATTCCGGACAGACCCGCAGAACCCTTTGTTTTCATGGCGGCATTATAGATAATTTCTTCCCCGATTAAATCGAAAACATTCGGCGGAATGTGATCGATTGGGCCATGCAGAAGGCTCTCATCCTCGATCTCGGCTGCGAGTGGGTGCTTCTCTTTCAGGCTCTCCAAAACTTAAGGTGATAGGCTTAGAAGCCCCTGATGAACTCTCTTTATCCAAAAGTTTGATTGCTGCGGACACTTTGCCTTGTAAAACCAGTCTCGCAAAAACTTTGGAAATGTCCTCAACAGATCTAGCCTTCTTTGAGTTGGCGAATTTTCCCTGTATGAATTTCACTTCTTTCATTAGAGCAACTAGGTCTCCTTGTTTCCACAGAGCCAATCTGCGTACTATCGCTGCACTATGGTCTTTACTCTTTGAAGTAGCTGAGGGCTTTTGTAGAATCAAAGAGGGAAACACCATGAATGCTTTCAAAGCAATTGGATTTAAGTCCGAATTTGAATTGAATTGTTTCATCCAAAAGGTCAGCTCTTCAATATAATTCTTTCCGGCTCGCCCAGACGGTATGTTAAAAATATTTCTCCTGAAGTGAACAATTTCATAAATGCCATTAGTGTCTACTATGTTGCTCTCCTCGGCATATTCTGGCATTTTTTCTAGTTTTGCGGCCTGATTTCGTAAATTATAACTCTTAAGCCCGAGTTGCCCATATCCTTTGTCGTCCCAAAGCTGTTTCATCACTTCAATATAGCCTTTCTTTTTACCGTTTTCGTTCTGTGGTGGATTTTGTGATGAAATTAATTCTTTTGCCTTTCGTTTACATTGGAGCACATCGTCATTCATTTGTTCTGTCCACTTAAATCTCTTGGATTTATGCGACATTGCAGTGGCCATTGCAGCATTACAGCAATGGATGATATGGTTGTCCTTCCATATATAGATATTGATGTTTGCAACCGAACTGAATTGCATCGAACTGAATTGCACCGAACTGAATTGCTAGGTCTCGTAAGGAGGAAACATACCAGGTAGCATTAGAAATACATGGTGGGAGAAAGCCCAGGGTGGGGGGTAAATCAGCAGAGGTTGGTTTGCTTCATACAGTTAATGCCAAATGTAGTAAAGCTACAGTATTGGTACACTTCCACAGTTACTCTGGTCCTGCATTCTTACATTCATGGTTTAAATGTATACCTGTCCCACATAAAGTGTTTGAATGGATGGCTGATGGAAAGTACCTGTCAAGGCAATAAGTGCCATTGTGGTTGAGGTATGCAATGACCATTCAAAAGTCACAAGGAGAGACACAACAAAAGCTGTTGTTGATTTAGGTAAAGGAGAAAAAGTTTCTGGATGCACATTTGTAGCTACATTGCAGGTAAGATCAAATCATGATATTGTGTTTGAACCTATGTCATTTGATTGCCTGAAAGCAATTGGTAGGGCAAAAATATGCACTCGAAGCTGAAGAGTGTCTTAAAGTGCTTGCAGAGAAAACTGTCCAAACATATAGTAGGTTATGAATTGTCATTGTTTTTCAAATTCAATAGTTGTGGTGTTTGAGCACCAGTATACTGGGCATATAACTGTGCTTTCTAGGTTATTTCTCCTGTTACTAGGCACAATTTTAGAGGTGTGGTCTATGCCTCTATTATTGTGTTTTTAGGACTGCATTCAGGGAGTTTGTCATTGCCAGTTACCTAGACATGTATAATTTTCTGCTGGCTGAGAAACAAAAGAAGCAGAAAATGTTTTCTCACACACTGCTGGGGGCCGGCCTGATTAATACAAGCTAAGGAAAATCGAGAGGAAAGCGGTGATCACACGCAGTGCCGAACATAAAGTGCCCCTAGGTCTCGATTGCCTGAAGAACCACCAGCCTGGGCAAGGGAATTACTGAGCCAACAACGGCAGAACACAGAGGAATTGAAGCGACTAAAATCGGATATGTAGTTCGGCCATTACAACAGCGAATGTGAAGGTCGCGGAATTCACTTCGAGGGGAACAAAAACCAATATCAGCTGAATAAATCAGTAATAGTCAGATGGCGGAGATGAAATATGAAACAAGCTCTTGGAAGGTAAGTTACGCACAGAGGGAAATAAGCATATTTTACTCAGAAAAATTCGGCTGTGATACAGTACACTGCTATACAGCGGAAAAGAAAATAAGCTAGGCTGTTGAAGAAAGTAAAGGCTTACGAAAAGAAAGTCGAAGCTTCTCGATCAAAGGGAAAAGAACAGCAGCGAGCGCCAACAAAGGCCATTTCAGAGTTGGGGGAAAATGCCTTCGGGGAACTTCAAGGTGGGAAATTCGCCACATGAAACCGGTATCACATGTTTTCGTTGATGACCAGCTCACATCGTAAGAGACTGTCGCTCAGCAAATGCCTGTTATGTCATCTCAAGTATGGCAACTAACATGTGAAATTCCAACCAGAACTGATCGTTTTTTTCAGTCTGAGCCTGAACCATTCGATGAGGTAGGAGATGATAACATTAATAATCACTTGTCTGTTATAGTCAATGGTCGATTGCCTGAGTGTAAATTGTTTAATAATCATGCTAGTGCAACCAACAATTCTGACTGTTTCATGTAAAATCGACAAACTCTTGGTGTCCGGGTCTTTAGTTGAAGTTGGGGAACATGATATATCTGTTTGTAGTCCTCTTAGTGTTGCAAAAAATTCCTCGGGTAAACTGTTCAAAGTTAGTTTTGGACTTGTGCTTTATAAACAGTCATCTAAGAGTGCCAAAGTTTAAGAACATACACTGTATCTTTGATCAAAAAATAATTAAACTACTATTTGTAGAATATATATGTTTTGGGCAAAAATAACTTCATTTACTGTTTTTTTCTAATACACAACATAAAACTTTTTTGTGTTTTTTAAACAGTTTTTTTAGTTTTTTTTAGAGATATTTCAACTAATTTGGCACAAAGGTACAAGTATATTTTAAAATTATTTATAGTATGCTTCTTAGCTGATGTATTTTATCAATGATTTCCTTTAATATTTTCTTTTATAATTATAGCAAATATTTAACAAACTCAAAAGTAAGTTGTTCCAATTTTTTTGATAATTGAATAAAACCATATTAAAAGGGGTGCTTCACGGTTGAACCTATAGGTATAGCTTGGACTTAACTTAACTATTTCATAGCTAATCCCTATGTTATATATATTCGATTTTAGTGGAATTACCGGACAACAATGCTATTCTTGGTATGTACATTACAATAAATATGCAGTATAATATGCTGGTTGTTGACCTCACTTAAAATTAAAAGGACTTACAACCAATGGTAAATAGGTGTGAACAGAGGCCAGTTGTGACCAATTACTTAGCGTACAGTTGTACAGAGGTATATTTGTGACCTCGAGGTACAGTTGTAACCAATTACTTGGCGAAAACCCTCTTGGCCAGCCAGGATGAAATATTCTCATATAAATATGTTAAAATTCAACCCAATAGTACCATGTACTTTTAGATTGTCCTCTCTTACCTACATGTAATAAAGTATATACTGACAATTTCATTTTACAGACAAACGTTATAACATGTACGGATTATCAATTTTCAATATCATGCATGTGATACAGTTATCTCAACTTTAACTTAACACAACATCTTTTATTTTAGATGTTCATGTTGATGATAGTATGAATTCAATCATATATTTAAAACAGAAATTAGGTCATTCTGAAAATGTCAACAATCTTAAGGGATTCTTGACATTTGAGAAAGAATAAAATCTGAAGTACTCATGACAAGAAAGGATTAACTTTTAACTATAGATATTGACAAAGAGGAGGAAGAAGAGGTCCAGCCATATCTGTTTCTGAAATATCACTTACTCGAACCGTCCTGACCGCGTAGCTCAGTTGGAAGAGCATTGGGCTAGTATTCCAAAGGTCGTAGGTTCGAATCCCACCGTGGCCGGGCATATTTTCAAGCTCGCCCGGTGTGGATATGCACTCAGAGTAACATGGCACAAATATTATTCACCTGAGTACACTACAGCAACACAGAAAAAAAAAAAAATGTTCAGTATGGTTCAATCATATTTTTTATTATAACTCATACAATAACATGCATGATTTAATTCATTTCAGTAAATAAACAACCTCAACAACAACTTGGAAATGGTATGGTTCTAATGTTGATATACTTTTATATCTGTAATGTGTAATTTGGTCTAACTACAGTAATACTATTTCTTTTCAGTTCATGACCGACAACAACATCCACAGCTTGGGAATAGTATAGTTCTTTATAAAGTCTAATTATACCTCTGTTGTGTAATTCGAACTAATCAACATTATTTCATTTCAGTTAATAATTAACGACACCCACAACATCTTGACGGCATAGTTCTTGAAATAGATTTATACCACTGGGGTCTGTTATTCAAGGCACAATTAGTACTAACCCTGGGTCGAAATTTAACACATTGTTTTCATCTACCAGGGCTTGAAATAACGTTCCCAAACTTCCCGATCAGTTTAACGACAGTAACAACTTTCCCTGCTTTTTCAGGTTGGAAACCTTGCTTTTCCGCTGATCATAAGCAATTTCTTGCCAATCAGTGATCGGCTGTTATTTGAAGCCCTGTGCATCAAATATTTTCCAAATTTAAGGTTAGGATCAGTATGGTGGCCCAGGAGTGCCATAACGGTTTTTGTAATTATTTTGAAATGTTTTAAAATTCAATTACAAACTGATTTATTTTTGTTTTATTTTTAATTTATATTTTTATTTTTCAATTTTTACTCATATTTTATTTTTTTATTTGTAATTGAATAAATAAATTTTAAAAAATGAAAATAGAGTGCCATAGGCCCATTAGTGCCATTAACCAAGGATCACAGGCTCAAATCAATGCCTGAAAACCTGTTGATCCCAGCTGAGTTCAACACATGGTTCGGTGGTCGTGGTATTTATGTAAAATAACAATGTCAAACAAAAGAAAGTGGGAAGGTCTTAAACAAAAAGTTGCTAAGAAACGAGTAGAGAAAAATCACGAATCCTCAACGTTGCCCACCAACAGAGTATCTCACTGTTCAACGATTGTCCTCCACAGTTGAGGGAAAAGTGTCAAAAATACACACGTATTGGGCCGCTTACAATGGTACCACTTACTTTGGATAGCTTAAAATCGGATTGCCAAAAGTATTTTAAAACTTCAGCTGCCTGCGATGTATTGGCAGGAGAAAGAGGGCCGTCATTTACTGATGTAAGTCAGATAAAAAATTGGAAAGTTGTTCATATAAGGTCTGTATATATTGTATATAGTATAGAAAAAAATAATAAAAATAAATTTTTGTGGAAATCAGCAGATGTTACTCCAGTACACAAGAAGAATTCCAAAGAACCAACTGTGAACTACAGACCAATCTCACTATTGCCCATCTTTAGTAAGACCCCTTAGAACGGTGCATTTACTGGAGTTGTATGACCATGTTGTGAACCTTATCAGTCCATCTCAACATGGTTTTCTGAGAAATCGCTCATGTGTCACCCAACTCCTATCAGCTTTCCTCTCTATCGGTCAAGATCTAGATAAGAATACCCAGACTGATGTCTTGTACCTGGACTTCGCCAAAGCGTTTGACTCTGTTGACCATAATATCTTACTGGATAAGCTGTGTTGGTACGGTGTGACGGGATCTGTTCTTGATTGGTTCGCCGACTATTCAAACTGTAGGACTCAGAGAGTTGTTGTGGATTGGGTAGCTTCTGCATGGTCATCAGTCACTTCAGGTGTGCCTCAGGGAAGCATCTTGGACCAGTTTTGTTTGTTATATTCATTAACGATCTCCCAGACATCATACATACCGGAACTGAAGTTGCCTGTTTGCGGACGATACGAAAATTACAACATTCATTGGTCAAGTTAGATCTGTGGAGTATGGAAAACAATCTCTTCTTCAATGCCTCTAAGTGTAAAGTCCTCACTATCACACAAAAGAAAAAAACTCCTATCATCTACGAATACACCCTTGCAAACTACACAATAAACACCATTGTTGCGAAGGCCAACAAAATGTTAGGTATACTTTAAGAACTTGTACTAGTATTACAGACATGAACACCCGGCAAACTTTGTATCTGTCACTTGTGAAGTCCCAGTTGTTGTATGCTTTGGAGGTGTGGTCACCGGTTAACTCAGCTATCAAGACAAGTAGAGAAAGTCCAACGGAGGGCAACCAAGTGGATACTAATATGAACAGAGAGATGCCTTACAAAGAACGGCTGTCATCGTTAAACCTGCTACCATTAAGTTACGATAGAGAAATGAAGGACTTAACATTCTTTTATAAAGCTTTATTTGGTTTTATAAACGTGAACTTGAGTAACTATGTGTTGTTTGTCAGCCATGATCGTACTCAATTGAGTCTTTCCTCTGAGTATATCCTTTAAAACCCACTGTGTAAAACTACCACTTTTCAATCCTCCTACTACAACCATATTGTCAAGATCTGGAACACTGTATCTCAAGAAGTATCTCATGACAGCTTCTCTAGACCTAGTTCTTTTAAATATTATCTCAAGTACAAATAATCAATCTTAGTCAACTCTATTTATGATGTAGACGTGTCTTGCACATGGTCTTTGACTCGGGACTGTCCTTGCCACAGGTCCTAACTGTTTATTAACATTATGTAATAATGTTTAACATAATAATACCGTTATATAATATATATGATATAAACATAAGACAGCATCGATTGATACACTGGCCGGGTGGAAAGTGTAATTTGAAAATAAAAATTAACAGCATAATATAGTTTGTAAACCTTGAGTGGGTGCATTTACGATTTGTGCCAGTTGTTTCCCGCATTTCATTCATTAAATAGGAATACAATGCATTGTGGGAAGCAACTGGGGATTTACTAACCCTTGATTTTTATGAGGCGTATGCACCTCCGAGGTTTACTAGAACAGTATAGATTTTCAATTAGAACAGTAGATTTTTACTAAGTTTGGGCAGGTGCCTTGCATGGTTCTTCGAGTCCTGTTTGTGCCTCGCCCATTTAGGGTCTCTGAATAATTGACTATATAATTAGACTTTGTACATATACTTTAGTGGACCCTAATAAAGACAACGATAAATAAATAAATAAATAGAAGCCCAGTTATTTAACTTTATATTTTTATTTTAACCATTAACTTACTAAGTATATTATATGCATATTCACAATACATTTAATTGTATTGTATTATTGGGCTATTTCAATCGATATTGAACCCCACCCCCATTGAGGACATCATTAGCCATTAGGGATTGGTCACTATTTAGCAGGGGGAGGTGGAAACAGAGGGGGTCACCTGTTTTAATGCTGCATTTTATAGTACTTCAGTTTTAAGTATCAGGAACATGTTTTAATAGAGCAGTATAAGACAGTATTCATATCCATACATGGCCTATAGGGTGTTAATTTATAAATATGCAACAATACCATTGTTAAAAGGTTATGAAAATTTCCATTTTGTAGCTGGGTGTAGTGCGTCGTTGAACGGGGAGGCCTTTTTTTCGCCTTAAGCAAGATAGGGGTCATGATTTTTCCTTGTAAGACGAAGGCAGGGTTAGAAAATTTCATTCCGAAAAGTTTTAATTGCACCTCCCCACCCCTCCTGCTAAATAATGACCAGTCCCTTATCCATGGAATTTCTAGAGTAATTTCATAAACCTTTGATTTTTTGCTGTTTGTTGGAATTTCCTAGATCATCCCTAGAAATTGCAGACATTGTTGTATATTTACATCACTGTACATTGCATGACATTTTTTTACATTGTTTCATGAATCAATATAAAGAAAGGTGCCTACTAAAAAACATATTGGCTTTATATTTCAGGCCCCTAGACAATGGTTTATTTTAAATTAACCATAATGAGTTCAGTTCCGCAATGAAAAATACAAGGAAACAACACATGGAGATGGATGACCGTTTCATTATTTTATTTAGATTTCTTGATGGTAGTCATTGCTCTTCTGTCCCAGTCTGTGATGACAGCCATGTTCGGGTGGTTCATTCCATCACATCAGAGCACCTGATCCGATGTACTGGTATAAGTGGTGTTACAACTTCGAAAGTGCCAGCTTCAGTTCCATTAAGTCAGATGTTGAACATTGGGAAATTCATCAAGCCCAATAAGGAAGTCATTACTCTCTAATTGGAACAGTTTGAGATAAAAGAAAAAATGTGGAAGGATCCCATAGAAGTTAAGATTTCTGTTAACACAGAGAAGTTTGCCAGTGGTGGATTCAGGGATGCATTTGAAGCAGAGGTAATTTCAGGAATTAGACCTGGAAAATATGTCTTGAAACAATATAAACAAGATACCATATCCTCTATCATAGAGTTATTTAAGTCTGCAGAAATCCATACAAGGAAGGCTGTCCAAATGAATGCCCTGGCCCAGTTTATGCAACAGGAAAAGCCTCAAGAGTTTGGCAATACTTTCGTTTATACCAAAGTTTATTATGCAAAATACTGTAATGAATATGTTACTCTGGAAGATTACATTGATGGAAGATTTTGCAAATTTAATTATATTTTGGCTACAGATGGCATTTTATACCATATTTTTCAACTTAATATGAGTACCAATAATAAATATTAAAGCCCAGCAAAGTGCTTTTAAAAGAGCCATAAACCATTAAATTTCAAATTTTTAATAAAGATTTAGTAACGTTTCGTCTTAACCCAAGACATCTTCAGACTATATTAAATTACAAGCTGTAAGAGTAATTAAGCATAAATCAAAGCTATCATAGCAATATTAAATTACAAGAGAGTATGAGGTACACAAAACGTAAGGATAAGAAAGGGTAATGAAGGGAAGTGAAGAACAAAAATGAAAACATACAAATTGGACGACAACACATACAGACAAAACCTGTCCTACTAAAGAATGCCCGGGAACATTTGTTCAATGCCCGGGAGTTGGGAAAGAATGCCCGGGGGAAATTATGTTAATAATAACGTTAGTTACTAATAAAATCACTTATTTTATGAAAGATTAAATGATTCTTGTAACATATGTCATTGCAAAATACTGTTCACGGAATGTCTGGCTGTCACAAAAGAATGCCTGGGAGTCGGAAATGAATGCCCAGGGAAAAATTACACAAGTAATTACGTTAGTTAATGATAAAAATGCCTTTTAATGAGAGTTTGAATGTTTCTTGTAATATATGGCATTGCAAAAACTATTCACAGAATGCCTGGGGAAAATTATATACCGCTGTCACAGGAAATTTGGCTACCCCGAAAATTACTTTCGTTTTTACCACGGAATGCTTCTGTAATGCATTTCAACCATATGAGCGATTATATACACTGTGTATATGTATTAAAGTAAAATGCATAGGAAAAGGTTTTTTTTATGAAATAACCACTCATTTGTTTTGTTTTTCGAACAAACGTTTCCACTCAAAAGTCTACTTTTACCCTAATGCTAATTACTCCCTGTTATTTATTAGACATGTGCATATTAACATATTCGCCAACGCATGATGTCATCGTTTGCTAAAGTGCGGTTGTTATTCTGACTTATTTTCTGGGACATCGCCAAAGTCTTTTTCAAGTCTACTCTAAATAATATCAATGAAATATATTTTCGGCAGAAAACGATGTTTTTGCCAGTAAAATATATTTTCGGCAGTAAAAGATATTTTCAGCAGTAAGAGATTATTCAGTTCGGTAGTAAAAGATAACAGTTTAATATAACTTTTCTCGAAGCGAAAGAGCGATCTTTTCAGAGCGATCTGAGGAGAGACTTTTCGCGTTACAACTATATTATTATCACCACAACAAATTATTTATTTGGCTTTGTAATGCTAAGAATTTCAAAAATGTTGTCTTTTGTTCTGTTAATATTGTATTAATTTGCATGACAGAAAGTGCCTAAAGCCTTAATGACGTAATGCCCACGGATCTCGAACGCATCACAAAACAATCCCACAAACAACCTCACAATTGACAAGCTTGGCTTTGCAGCACCATCGGTTAAACCTCGTTAAACATCTTCATTAATTTCGTTCTTGACTAAAGTAAAAAATATGGCTAGTAGAAAATCTGCTCATGTTAACAGGCGCAAATGGCCATGTGGCGTATGCGGTCTGCAGTGCAACGATGATTCTGTGTTTTGTGAAGGTTGCGGCGTGTGGCACAATGCGAACGTCTTTCTGCGAAGGATCTAACCACCTTGAATCGGCTAACAGACGATTACCCGTGTTCTTCTTGTGCCAATAATGTGGGTGGCGGTTACAACTTCGCCGCAGCTTTACGATGCTTAGAGAATGCATCAAAGCAGGGAATGTTGGAAACGACAGTAAAAATGGAGCAAATCTTTTTGCGCAAGACACCCCTTGCACAAGTAAAAGCTGAGGAAATCCTGTTTGGAACGTCCACTCTTGATATCATTGCCCGAGAAATTTTGAGGCGAGTTGGTAAGTCTCATTTCACCTAACATTTCATTGTCATCATAGTGCATAGACATTATTCATAAGTCGTGATCGAGGCCTCGTATCCTAGGAAATGGGAAAATCAGCTTTTTTCGAAAATATTACGGCTTTTTTCGAAAATATTGTCTATAAAACTGAGCTTGAAAGTTGAAATAATACTTCTGAGAAAATACAACATGATATTTAATGCAAAAGATGCTGGAAATTATACTTTCATTCCATAGTTGTCTCGATTTTTCACAGAATAACATATATTGACATTAAAATCGCCGCAGTAAAATACTGTTTTTCGCTTCTGGATAAACACCGTCGCTATGTAACATTGTCACATGCATTTTCCACACAAAAAACGGGAGAGACAACCGGTCATTTTTATAACATATTAGTCGTTTACAACTGTCGTTGTGGGCATAAAATCTTAAAATACACACAAAAATAGTTATAAATCGAAATAAGCAACAAGAAACAAGCCGTTAACACAATAAGTAGTAATTCAATAACATCTGAATTTGGCCTGTCAATTGTGTCAAGCAGCAGTTTTCACTTGTTTTCCCACGTTTATTCCCGTTCCCTAAGATACGAGGCCATGGGCATTAGGGACTGCTCATTATTTATTGTACAGGGGGAGACTGAGGAGAAACTCTACAGTTATAATATTTTTTCGTTGCCCCCGTCTTAAGACAAGTAAAATTTTCCGAAACCCCCCCCCCCTCCCAACAGGCAAAACAAGAAAATTCGGCCTTGATCTCATGATGCATGATGCAGAATTTGTCTTGTATTTATAGTTTAGGTATATTGAAGCCCGGCTGTACGGGGGTTTTAACAGAACAGTTTGCCCCAGGGACGGGGGAATTAATGTTTTTTAACACTTGTCAGTGTTAAATTCCCCGCTATGTCCCGGGGGTGGGGGGCCCGCTGTGGTTTCAAATGACTAATGCACTTCCTTATTTAGGCGGACCCTCAACTTGCTTACCAGCTGCTGTTCCTGCAGATGGGAATTGCCTTTTTCATGCGTTGTCAACCGCTATTGCTGGAGATACCTTTGCTATCAACCGAGCTTCGGGTGCGTACTTGCATTGAAATGGTTGTCAACAAAGATCTTTTTAAAAAAAAGCACAAGAACACGGGCGTAAAGTTTATGTCCCTGGACTACCGGACAGCAGTCAGAGAATGTGCTATTGGTGGAAAGTTTTCATCGGCGTGGACGAATCATGCGGTAGCATCGGTATTTGGAACGAAGATTTTGTCTATATATCCACCAGTCAACGGACTGCTAGATAAAACTGTTTCCATTCTGCATAGAACATTCAACCCAAACAAAGATCGCCTAGACCACCTATCGTCCTCATGTGGTCCAATGTTTCACGACCCAGAACCGGCGTCACATGGCTCCCTAATCATTTCGTTCCGCTATTGCTTACAAAACCACCAGAAGTTGTAGATATGACAGAAAGCGTGGAAAAAACTATATGAAATGATGATCCCAAAATGTCTACCCCTACCAGCAAAAAGAAGGTAACACTATACGTAATATTTATAATATAGTCATTCACCGTATATAAGCTGTTCTGCAATCTGATTGGTTGAATTACTCGCCGTATATGAGCTCATATACGGTGAGTAGCGAAAAACAAGATGGCGGTCCAAAAAGTACACAAGTTTTGCGAAGCAGAAAAAAGGAAAATATTCGCTTTGAGAAAGATAATAGTACAAGGAAAAACTCTAAAAAAAATTTGACAGGTTAGCAAAATACATTTATTACATAGAAATTAGTTTAAATAGGTTTTTTAAAGAATACCGAAACAACAGTGAAAAAAAAACATGTTCATTGAGAATATAAAAGTTCAGAAAAGTTTGCAACGAAAGACAACTTACTATACTACCAAACATCTGTATAATATATCTGAGCTTTTCTGTGAGATATACCAGTTCTAAAACCATTTCTTTCACCTCGTCTTCGAGTTGTAAAACAAAAGTATTTCAAATTTTCATTCCTCTTTCACCATAAATCTTAAAAAAAAATTCAGAAAAATTGACTGAAGGAAAAAAAAGATATTGCTGTTTGATTGTAAAAGTAGACAATAAAAGTGCAAAAGATGAAACATCATGGTTGCCACGGCAACACTAACACTGTTCCTGTTTGTTCATATATCGACAGCAGAAGACTTCTGAACATTCTTGGAAATGATTATATTTCCCTGTCTCAAGTGTGTTCAATATGGTTGAAAACGAAGGTTACCTAAAATACGTAAAATTTTAGAAAACTGTAGGGAGCCACCTTAATCAGTTAGGTACGTGCTTAAGTAAGGGTTGTTTTTTCGCTTCAGGAGAAAGTCTGAATTTGAATTCGCATTCCAAGAGCATTTGGCAGAGAAAACTCAAAATTCACACCAAAAATCTATGCTATAGTAGCAACAGCGATAAGAGCACAACTGAGAATAGCACCACAGACAAAGAAATTTGGGAAGATGAGCCAGATACACATGAAAACCAACAAGAACAAGTGGTTAATGGCAAAGCGAATGCTGTGCCTATATCTTCTGAAATTGGGGCCATAACTCTATTTATTTTAGTATGGCATCTTGCTTTGGCATTCCAGGATCAGCGATTGCAGTTCTCCTCAAATTTCTGAACTTTGGCAACTATCTGTGCCTTACTTGGCATCAAGACAAACGATTTTACTGTCTATGCCACTTGCCCAAAATGCTACGCCTTGTACTCTAAGGAACATTGTACCATGTTCCAATGTTTGGTGGCCAAATCACCCACAACTACGAATATGTGAAGCATGTGGAGAAAAGTTGATGAAGAAAGTCAGAGGAAAGTCCGGAAAAATATTTTGGCATCCGCGAAAAAGTATTTCGAAGCCTATTCAGCTTGTTGAATAAGTTTGTATTCCAACAAAATTTTTTTGACATGTGCAATCAGTGGAGAAAAAAGGATAACACTGAATCGGAGGTAATGACTGACATACATGACAGCAAAGTGTGGGAAGAATTCCAGTTTTATGAAGGAAGACCATTCCTGAAAGGGAATAACAACCTTGCGTTAATCATGAATGTTGATTGGTTTAACCCTTTTAAGCATTCACCAGGATCTGTGGGAGGTTTTTACTGTGTCTTTGCAAACTTGCCCACAGAGGATAGATATAAGAGAGAGAATGTTGTATTACTCGGGTTAATTGAAGGTCAACCCAAGCACGATCTAAACTCCATTTTAAAACCAGCCGTAGATGAACTTTTGATGCTTTGGGAAGGACGCATTTTTCGGCAAGGGTGGAAGTGCTTCTTTGTGTGTGTCGCACTTTTGTGTGTGTCGCACTTCATACAATGATTAACCTGAAAACTATTAATCGTGCCTTATTAGGAAAAAAATAAGAAACTGATTCTTAGGGGCTATTTATATGATCTTACCCGGGATTACGCAAAGCATAAAATGATTTTGAACTATTGAAAATCACGGGACATAATGTATTCTACTTCCTTACTAATTTGCATATGACTTTGAAATATGGCCCCAACGGTGTCAACAGTATATAGGCTATATAGTAGATTATACAGCGCAATGTTGTAAACGCAAAATTGGAGAATATATAGTAGATCTTTTGCAATTTGCCACAATCGCTGGTTGCAAAACAAAGCCTGTCGAAGAATTTAGTGTAATATTATCCTGATTTAAGTTACTACCATTCCTGCTTTTTCTATATTTGTACAGAGGTTAATTTTTAACTACATTCGTCTATTTAACTCTACATAAAAGTACCACACTAAGAATAAACTAAAAAGCAGGAAAAACAGCAACTTAAACTAGGCCAAAATTACACTAGATACATCGACAAACTTTGATTTAGCACCAGCGATTTTGGCAAATAGCAAACGATCCACCATATTCTTAGATTTTGCCATTTTCCTCATCACGTTGTACATATTCTACTGTTTATAGCCATATTTCAAAGTGATATGTAAATTTTTATGGAAATAAATTATGTCCGGGATTTCTGGCCATGGTGTAAGTCGCTGTTGATGATTTGGAAAAATGTAAGTTATAATTTCTGATGGCTTCACCATGTTCAATGCAAATATCAACTGGACCAGACGAAATGCAGTTGAACATTAGTTCTTACGAATATTGCATTTTTTACATGGATATGATGCATTGAACCTGGAAAGTATTCTAGATTTGGTTGTTTGGTTTTATAAACAATTATTTAGAAGAATACTAGGAATTCCTATTAGGCGTTGATTACCGACCTTTTAGCTGTAGATTACTGTAATGAAATACAGCATGTATTTGATATTTTGATATATATATATAACATTGTTTCGGAGTTTATAGGCTATGACCAAGTTACAAAGACTATATATACAAGTGTAAAATTACTATGATGTTATAATGTAATTCATGTTTTTTTTTCTAATATATTTGAAATACACTTATACAGGCCACTATAGGAGAAGTGTATACATATTATATACTATTTTTGTGATGATTTAATCATGCCCCATTATAATAATCCGTAGCGACTTATCAATGTCGTATTAATATAAAGGGGTGTTAGTGCTTTATTACTGCATACAACGTCGCGTTTTTCTTTGAATTTGCCGAATTCAACTCACATTAAGTTCAGCAAATTTAATCAAATTTGAGCGTTGATTCAAAGGCGTTTAGCTTAATGAAGTCAAACTGATATGTTAAACAAAACGGTATAATTCTTAATCAACAAATTTTTTTTTAAGTTCCACACATTACAAGTTTGCCATTCGCCATGAGTTTCCCACCCCGTCAAACTTTATACATTAACCACGACTGTGCATGTCAAACTTAATAAGGGTTCCGCACTTAAACTGAAATAGTCAAACTTGTTTATTTAAACATTGCGCTTAACATTTGATATGTGCAAAATGCTCCGAATTCAGAACGGCACATTAAAAGCGCGATGTTTGAAACAGACCTAAGAAGCGTGAAAACTACACTCTTACTGCACAGCTCGCCAAAAGATAGATTTATAGGCTAAGGATTTATATTGGCTTGATTTAATAGCCTAGCATAGCGCAAACCTGCAGCTGAGTTTATAATCTCATCAACACCTTAGAATTTCAGCTCAAAACTCAATCGCCAATCAGCACCGGAAAACAATATTGTGGCAAATTGCTTTATAGTCATACAAATGTTACCAGAGCAAATATAAAATTAATTAGTTGAGAGGAATCATATGACACTGACTTGTCCACGCACTGTTGACGCTACCAAATGGAAGGGAAATAAATTTGAAAAAAGCTCATCAAATGCGATCTCTAAGCTATAGGAAAAATAATACGCATCGTAGACGTGTGATGAAAAAGGAAAAACATAAGCTCAAGGTAAAGAAAGCCGGAATTCAAGGAACAGAAAATGCTAACCATTTGTCGGCTAAAGACGACATATCCTACATGGTAGAGGAAGGTAGCCCCTCAATGGCTACAAATAATTTATCCAAGTCACCCGAGGAATTACCTATGTCGAAGCAATTTAAAAAAAATAAAGAGGATAATGATCGTTTGTATAAACATGCAACATACTTTCACTATCATTGGAGAAAGAGTGAGATGTTCATGCAGAGCCGTTTACTTGCAGACGGAACAGTTGGAGAAGGAACATTTGGGATCTGTTATCAGGCAAAGTACGGGTCAATTAAAGCAGTGGTAAAAGAAATAAAACAAGAAACTTTGAACATGGAAATTACGAGAGAAGTCACCCCAATCTTCCTTTGCTTCTTGGTGTTTGTTTTGAGAAAAATCCTTTTCTCATTGTCACAACATATCATAGTGTTGAATCCGAAGACCCCTTGCATTCCACTACAATGTTTAAAGCTTTGAGTGATAACATTGTCGGCCCAGATCTTCGTCCAAACTGGTTAGCTATATTGCACAAACTTTCTAAGGCTATTTGCTATATTCACGAACAGGGTATAATACATAATGACCTGAACACCAATAATGTTATCGTTGAAAAACATGGCAAGCATTTTACCATAGTTCTAATTGACTTTGGAAAAGCGACGGCAGCCAATAATGGCAAGGTATACCCAGAATTTAACAAGAGAGAGCAAGAAAAATACAACAGAAAGTACCCATACTTAGCTCCTGAACTAAAATCAGGTGGGGGGAAACAAACTGTCTACACTGACGTTTATTCGTATGGGTATTTAATGAAAGTTGTTAGTCACACTCTTAATGATAGAGAACTTTCTACACTCTATCACTCGTGCAAGAACATTTCCACAGAGGACCTTGTACTACCTAGTTTACAATAAAAACTAAGATGGCAGCCATTCATTGTCAATGCTGTAATGTAGAGTGCAGGAAAATGTACATATATCAATTGATTATTAAATTGCGATGGATCTAATTCATGATATTGTCAAGCTTATATAAAGTACTTGAAATAGTGTATTCCAAATTAGGAATCTATAGCCCTATAGACCTTTTCGGTCACAATTACATTGTTTTCAACTTAGGACCAACCTTAAATCACACTTGAATGGAATAGATTTCAAGTTTTTTTCTCGCTGGCTATGTGCAAAGATGCAGAACATCCTTTAACACATGCATGATAAAAAATTATTATTTTGACCAATAAATGTGGGAATAAGCTTTAATGCCAAAACGAGGCTGAGCAGCCCAGAGGGGCCATTGGCCCCTTAGTCTCGTCTCGCATTTATTGGTCAAAATAAAAAAAGTTTTCATGCATGTGTTGAAGAAGGATGCTCTGCTACTTTGCGCATAGGGGGTTCTAAGTTGAAAACAGTGTCAGTCTATTGCATCAGTTGAAATTAGTTATTCAATACACCTTCCGGAAAGCTTACGTCACCAAACACGAAAACTAAGCTCTATAGCCAAAGTATATTAATGCTTTCCTACACAAAATTCGACAACAATTTGACTGAAATATATTGTGTGAACACATGCCGACCGTTGCGATAGATAATTTGGAACTTAAACATGTAGGACGGCTACACGACGATGACGGCTATTAATACAATAAGCAGATGAAATTAAATTAATAATTAAAGTCTCATGGGACTTAGCCCTTGCTCTGTTTACAAAGGAAAATCAACACCTCAATTAAAAGCCACAACAAGTGCCACTTCAAATTCAGTAGGAGAACTCTTCCCAACCATAAAACCAATGTCTTCAACTTTTTTACTGTATTAAATCCAACAGGGCTAGTGTGGGTACCTATTACCAAACTTTTTCAAAAAAAATACCAAAAATGGGAAAAAAATTAAATTTTCAAATGGCTGTACAGGGCGAAATAATCAATATTTTGGAACGATTTTCACACAGAAATGCTTCTTTTTAAATGTACTATTTATAAAAAAAAAAAAATCGAAGTGTCGTCGTGTTTTTTGCAATTCTCCTCTGAGCGGAGCCTAAACTAAGGACTTTTTCGCTATGCTTATGGAGAGATAATGGGTTGGGCGAGCAAGGGGCATTATGAAAAGTGGAACAAAATTTGCAAAAAACTAAAAAAAAAAAAATTTTGAAAAAATAATTGAAAATATTTTCACGGTAAATCACCTATTATCCCCCATTTGACCTCCTAAACCCATTAAACTGCCTCCTATCCTATTGTAGAAAACGAAAGCAACAGTGTAGTAAAAAAGTTCAGCTAAAGTCCCTTGTTTGGACCGCATTAAATGTAAGTTTGTAATAAATTTTCATAAATATATGCTTTTAACTAACCCTAGTCGCTAATGGAATTTTTTTTTATTACAAAACGAACTTAAAAGGTCATGAATTATGCATATCCAATTTCATGTAATTTGATATTAAAAATTGCACCTCTGACCTCTTAAAAAAACCTGGATGGAATTAACACTATCACAACATGCCGCACTGGATGAAGTTGACGTGGACCACATGGCCTTTAATATGCCAGTCACCCATGCAGAAGCAATTGGTGTGCTGCAATCATTTGCAGGAAGCTCTCTACAGCTGGCAACGCATAACGGAAGGCTGTGGAGGCATGAAGATTGGCGCTACATTGTGCTCACATGGAATCCTGTCATCACCCTCGCGCCATTCTCGATGCAAACAAAACGCCATTTGTGCCAGTACTTCAGCGACAATGGCCACATTGTCCTTCCCTCGGGTGATGATGCAACACATCTGATAAGGGGAAGTAACAAGCACGTACCAGTAACAACGTTTCTCCTCGCCCTCCTAGATGCTGGAGTTGAGTTCATGCAAGTCGTGAATTTCGGCATGAAGATGAAGCTGAACACCTTCCCAAATCTGCCAAGAGACCTTCTAGACTGCCGGGCTGAACAGGTGATGCATTATAATATGCTGAACCGCATCGATATGGTGGTTGAACACTGCGCGAACTTCCATTCGGAGTCCCCCAATGAGTTCTCTTGACTCCTGCATTGCCACGAGGATAGAAAACATGGTCTTGAATATACGTCCGCCCTGTCTTGATGTCACTGGGGCATTTAGTGGCTGGGTGTTGGAAGCTCTCAGAAGGTGGTACTGGAGGTTGTAGATTTTGAGGAATTTTATAGGGCCGTCATCTGTAAAGGCAAGATTCAGGTTTCCACCAAGGGTGACTCTTGGGTTAGGGTTGCGGTGTTAGGATGGGATACGGGTTTGGTGTTACATGAAGGGGATATGGTGCATGCGATTTGATTAGGTAGAGGTAGCCGGTTCGGCGCGATAAGGAAATGTCCCATTCATTTGGCGGGAATCCATGGTCTATCTATCTATCTATCTATACCCAGTGCTGTATAACTAAATTTACCAAAAGGGGGTCTCTCTTGATAATGTTGGAGAAAGAGTAGCAAGTTGTGATGAAAATCATTTAATCTTCGGCGCGAATTGCCTTGAAGAACACCCATCAGTTATAGAATATGGCAAGCAATTAAGGAAAGATATCGAAAAGATTGAAAAAAGCTCATATGTAATTGAGAAACAGAGGGTCACATTTGCATTTGAATTGCTGCCAGCTGACATGAAATGGTTAGCGTTTATATCAGGGGAGCTGCCAAATTCCGCTAAATATTTTTCATCATTTGCAGATGTATCAGCAGATAATATTCAGATTATGGGTTCTACTTATGGTGGGTCAGGTGATTATTTCAAACCTTGGGATTACAACAACCGGGTGAAAGTTGCTCAAACATTTGAAGCTTTTAAACGTAAGCTAACACCAAAGCAATTACCAGCTCGGATCAAGGTTACCAAGTTCATTTCTAGTCAAAAATCCTGGCAAGAATTTGAGCCCATCTTAGGCCCTTTTTGTAGACAAAGCTCTAGCTGAACCTCTGCATTTGGCCAATAATAATTGGCAATTTTTGTTCACTGAATTACTTACCTTTGTCCTGAATTCAAAAACAAAGATACCAAGTAGTGCTGTATATGTCTCAGATTTACCAGACAACTGCATGTTTAGGAAATTCCTCTTATGTTTGAAAAAGGAAGTCAAAGCTAACAGGCTATATAATTCCATATTAAGGTGGTTTCGTGAGGGGCGTAAGAGTGGTTCCCCCTTTAAGATCAGTTTTACCAGGGAGGAAACCAGGTTAATGTGTAATGGGTTCTGCAAACTGGTAAAATGCATTCTTGAGAATGACTCAAATGCAAATCCAGTGCCATGTGATTCAGACAAGGGAAATCTCATAGTTTATGTCCTAGTATTTTTGGCAATAAATTTAAGGGATGTTGTAGCCATATTTTCACACATTACAGACATTAATAAGGATCTCTTAACTGAGCTTGAAATATGTTACACAAACTATTTTAATGCAGCATCATCATTCCTGAGGGCAACAGTAAGTGTATGGACTCTAGGGTACATTGTCCCAGTTCATACTATAAGCAGGTTTTTGGGAAGTATGGTGTCAGCTTAGGAATAAACACAATACAAGGTCGTGAAGCAAAACACCAGCGACTGGCAAAGTATGCTGTTTTTTTCTCTGTTCGTTTTTCTCTGTGGTTGTTTTTGCTTATTTCTCTCTGTTTGACCGTTGGGCTATTTTGAATCAGCATTTTTTCCGAGCGGGGCATAGAATTTTGCTGTTTATGTTGACATTTGGTACTATTTGGGCATATTTTTTACGTTTTTCAAATTACAATTGTTATGTGTTCATGATAAGTGAAAATATTATTTCTCGCTGTACAAACTATCAAATGGTACATCAAGGGGCAGAATATTGTTTTGCAGGTATGTTTAGTATTTTTTTTTTTTTGTATAAACATATATTTTTCAAAACGACGTTTACCCAAGAGCTATAAAGCTCATCGAGGGGCTTACGTCACTATTTACATAATATTTAAAAGAAAAAAGAAAATAGAGTAAATAAAACAAGGACAAACAAATTACTGGATCGTTTGGAGGATTCCCTCATAGAGCTTAATGAAAACGTTCAGATTCTTTAATGAATTGTTGGACAAAATTGAAAATTTTTTTGTTGTCATCTATATTTAGATTAACATCGCCAAACAAAAACATCTTTAATTTTTGAGAATCCGACAAAAGATTCCAGCTATCACCACAAACTTGTGCAGCAGCCGAGAGTAAGGAAATCCTCAGAGCAGAATATCGGGGACACTTTAGCAAATAATGCATAATTGATTCATTATTTGCACCACACACACATGCTGGAGTTTCAATACAATCTATTTTAAACAAATAATAATTTAGAGTACAACAATTGAGACGAAGCCGAGAATGTAAAATGGAGGAATATCTATCAATTGAATAATCAAGATACTTATTATAACATGAAATATAAAAAAAACGATTAAGATTTTGTTTAAAAACGCTAATTGATAAAGTACTACGTTCATTATAGTCCATACTGTTTCATAACATAGTTGTTGAAGGAAAGAAAGAAGCTTTGAATCTTTCAATTCTAACAGGAAATAAAGTAAAATTTGATGCATGCCGTAGAACTAAACCTGACCTTTGCTGAACTGTTTGAGGAATTAAGTCAGACAAATAGCTTGGAGTAAGATTATTTACTATTTTGAAATACAAAACAAGTTTGTGCATAGATCGTCTGGTTTTTAAATCTTCCCAAGCTAGCTCTTCTAATAATCTCGATTTACTTGTACCCTTCGTAGCTCCTGTGACCACCTTAGCTGATTGATATTGTAGATGTTCCAAAAGATCACTCTCACTAACAGAGCAGCCATCCCAAAGGACGTCGGCGTACTCCATTTGAGATCTTATGAGACATTTATATAATTGAATTAACGTCTCCCTACCTAATTTAAACTTTAAGCCTTTCAAGAGATTTAATTTTTTTGAAGCTTTCTCATAAACATTAAAAATATGAATTCTCCAAGAAAGATCAGAACAAATGGTGACACCCAAGTGCTTATGATTACTAACATTATCGATAATTTCATTATTGAAATATAAGTCTGGATAACTGGGCTTTACACGCTTTACAGAAAAAATAATGGATTTGGTTTTGCTTGGATTGATAGTGACAAGCCAATCACGTGTCCATGCATTAATACGCTCAAGATCATTATTAATACTAACAGCAGAAAACGTTGGATCATCAACCACTTCAAGCAGAGAAGTGTCATCAGCATAAAGAAAACTATCGCTCTGAAGGTCACAAGTGATATCATTTATGTAAATTAAAAAAAGCAGAGGGCCCAGAACAGAGCCCTGGGGAACACAAGCTTCAACTCGGTCCCAATCAGATGACTGACCCTCTATTAATACACGCTGCATCCTATCAGATAAGTAACTCCTTATCCATTTGAGTAAGGGATCTCTTACTCCCAGAGAATCGAGCTTACGGAGCAAACCTTTATGCCAGACTTTGTCAAAGGCCTTGCTAATATCCAAAAACACCATGCGAGCTTCCTTACCTTGCTCTAAGGCTTCATAGATTTTATGAACAATAAAAACAAGTTGATTTACTGTAGACTGTCGATCATCCTTTTTGAAAATAGGTATAACATTTGCTTTCTTCCATGCAGACGGAAAAACTCCCTTGGAAAAAGAAATATTAATAAATCGTGAAAAAGAACTCGCAATACCATGAGCACAAGATTTAATTAAAAAGTTACCTATACCATCGACACCACAAGCCTTGGAAACATCTATTATACTTAATGAATTTCTAACTTCAAACTCAGTTGTGGATAAATGTGAAATAAACCTGGAATTTTGAAAATCAATTATATTAGGTATCGGCGCATCATTGTTATCCACTTTACACTGAGTAATAAAGTACTGGTTAAAAATTGTGGCTTTTTCTTTTGCATCAGTTATTATGCGATCACCATCAGATAGTGGCGGTATTGATGAATGTATTTTACTTTCGTATAACGATTTGACTATGCCCCACCACTTCTTTGTTCCTAATTTGGGGTCCTGTAATTTCGTATTTAAC